CTGATCCGTATAGTAGCACTGACTGACTTTACATTGGAGTTGAAAATCTGGATCTTATTTTTGATGATGAGCGCTGTTGACCTTCACACAGATTTGAGAGTAATGAAAGCCTGTCTTGCATTTCCGATTCTGGTTATGATATCCTCATCAGTTCCGCCTGTAGCTGTAACGATGCTTCCAAGGTAGGTAGGTGCAGGAGGCTGTTTCTTTCAGGTTCCTCCCACTTATGCTGATTGTTGTCTGTTGTTGTTGTTGCTGTTGATGTTGGCTAGGAATCTTCATCACCTCTGTTTTATCTATGTTCACTTGAAGTCCTATCTTTGATGCTTCTTCTGCCAACTTGTTGCTTTTCACTTGCATATCTTCGAGTTTGTGGAAAATCTGACATATATCATCGGCGAAATCCAGATCCTCCAAGTCTGTTGTGTCAGTCCATTTTATGCCTGTTCCCTCATTGGTTGCCGTTGTCTGTCACATTATCCAATCGATTGCAATCAGGAAGATCATTGGTGATAGTAGACAGCCTTGCCTCACTCCCGTCCTCACTTGGAAGGCTTCCGCAAGTTTCCTGTTGTGGATTACTTGGTATGCAGCATTGTCGTATAACTGTTGGATGAGATGTATAATTGTCGATGGGACCCCACAGTAGTAGCGAAGTAGTTGCCAAATGACCTCTCGATCGACGCTGTCGAAGGCCTTCTCAAAGTCGATGAAGTTGAGTAAGGTGGGGAGGTGACTGCCATTCCAAGCTCTGCTCAGTGATGATCCGTAGAGTGGCGATTTGATCAATACATGACTTGTTTCTCCTGAATCCTGCCTGTTCCGGTCGAAGTTTTTCATCTAGGTTGGCGTGTTTGATTCTCTCCAGGATGATGCGGCTTAGTATCTTGCTTGGAATGGACAGGAGCATAATTCCACGCCAGTTTTTGCATTGACTTAAGTCTCCTTTCTTTGGTAGTTTGAATAAGTATCCGTTCTTCCAATCCTCGGGTACTTTGCCGCCTTTCCACACCTCCAGCAGTGGCGTCATCAAGTCCGCTGTTGTCTCTGGGTTTATTTTCAAAGCTTTTGCTGGTATTCCATCTGGTCCTGGTGCTTTCCCAGCTTTTAGCATCTTGATTGCATTCAGGACTTTTGAGCACAAATGAAGGCTTGTTGTCTGTCGGTTCCACATCAAACGCCTACATTCCGGTTCCCGTGGACGTGTGACTGAGGACTGAGGAGCCAGTTGTTTTCACATCTGGTTTTCTGGAAGAGTTAAGGGCTTTGCGTGGAAGCATATCAAAAATGGAGACACGTGTTACCGCGATTGAGGCTAAACTCTCGCAACCTAAAGTAGTCGACAGCATTGACACGAATATCTCCTGTCTCAATTCTGCTCAAGTTTTGAAGACCTCTGGCAGGTGGCAGTTGGACAGCGACACCTCCATGTCATCCTTTGAGGCGAAATTGTCCGACGAGGAATACGCGGTTATTCTGGCACCAGATCAAAAAGAATAAAAAATTCACCGGATGCTGAATCAAAAGTACTTCTATGCACGTTTAACTGTATTCTAACTGCTGTGATTAATTCCAAACCATTTATCTCATAATCAATCAAATTCCATGAACGATCCAATTATACCATTTGAAGACACTGGCGAACATGCTGTAAATGAGTATTCATGATCTGAAATGAAGAAGCAACTGGTTTTCAAACAGTTTTTCAACATTTTACCTAACTTCCGAGTACAGTCCGCCATGCAGACACAAATGGCGCAAATGGAGAATTCTGGAATCGACCTCGGCCCCATTTGATGCATTAAAATAACTTAACATGACCTTATCTAGTTTTCGCCTCCACGATCAAATTTCTTCCCTGTTATGAAACTACGATAAGACTGCTGAAAAAGTGGAATATATATATATCACTGATCTCAACATAATACATCAAAGCCAAAGGTGCTGTTCACAACAAAGTTATATAGGAGAATTGACTTCAAGCTTTTTTTCTCAGATACCCGTATTACATTCATCTGATGTCTGGGTTTTTTGTCAATGCGAAGACAATATTTCTATATCTCTTTATGTGCTACACAAACGGACTTTATAGCATACTGTTCCGACTGACTCTAATGACAGAAAGAACAACCAAACTGTAAATTCATCACGTATCAAATTATGTGTAATTTATATAACAACTTATCCATGCCTGTACAATAGGTATGTTCCTGCATGAACAGGAAGAAATATACTATTATTTCGTCGGGGGGTCAATGTTCACTGGTAGTTCTGCTTCCGTTGTTGGTATTGTTGGGCGCGTTGTAGGTGGCGGACGATTTAGAAGTCTTTTGAAGTGTTCAGCCCAGCGCTTTCTTTGTTCCACCTCCTTGGTGATTGACTTTCCATTGTCGTCCTTCATTGGCTTAATCTGTGACGAACTTTTGCCCGAAAGGTGCCTAGTTGTTTGGTAAAGTGTGGCGAGGTCTCTTTTGCCTGCACTGCAGCTTGTTCTGCTTTACTAGACATGGTTTCATAATATTTTCTTTCGTCTTCCCTGGCACTCTTCTTCACTCTTTTGTTCAGTGTATTGTAGCTTGCATTCAACTCCTGTTTTTGTTGCTCGTCAGTGCACTGGATAATCTTTTGCTTCACTGTCCTTCTCTCTTCTATTAGTTTCCAAGTGTCCGTAGTGAGCCACTGTTTGTCCTGTCTCTTCTTTCTGCCTAGAACTTCTATGCAGGTTTGACTCCACACCGTTTTCAAGTTGTTCCAGTGCTTTTCGACACTGACCTTTTCTCTGGTGTTGATTTGTGTCTCGGCTTTGTCCTTTATGCTTGCAATGAAGATGTCCTTTGTAGCCTGGTCCTTCAGCTTTTGAGTGTTGAACTTGGCTTGTGGTCTATCTGGAGCTCCTTTTTCCCTGAAAGCTTTTAATTTGATTTGGATTGTTCCTTGTACGAGATAGTGGTCTGAGCCAACGTCTGCTCCTCTTCTTGCTTTTGTGTCCAGTAGGCTGCGCCTCTACTTCCTTGAGCAGCATTGAGATGAAGTCGATTTGGCTTTTGGTTTGCCCGTCTGGTGACACCCATGTAGCCTTGTGGATATCTTTGTGCTTGTATACGCTGCCACCAATCACTAGTTCGTTGAAGGCACAGAAGTCGGCGAAGAGTTCTCCGTTTTCATTCATTTCTCCGAGAGCTTCTCTACCCATGATGAGTTCCCTTCCTGTGTTGTCTGGTCCCAGTTTGGCGTTCATGTCTCCCATTAGTGCTTTAATTTCGCCAGCTGGAGTATTGTCCATTGTTGCCTGTAGTTGTCTGTAGAAATCTTCTTTCTTTTCGAGGTCTGCGTTGTTTGTGGGTGCATAACATTGTATGATTGACACTTTCCTTCCTTTGGAGTTGAATCTGGCGGTCATTATCCTGGACGAGATCGCCTCCCATTGCATCAGGGCTTTCGTTGCCGTTGGTGAAATCATGATAGCCTCGCCCTCGGTGTGCGTGTGGTTATCTTCTGGGTGACCGGAGTAGATCACTGACTCACCCGTTGACAATTTGGTGAGTCCACTCCCATTCCATCTGCTTTCACATATTCCCAGTACTTGGATTCAGTATCTTTTCATCTCGTTTGTGATCTGGGCAGCTTTCCCTGTCTCGTACATAGTTCGGAAGTTCCATGTCCCCACACAGACTTTTTCTTTTGGTGCAAACAGGTTCATTTTGCTGAAGTTTCTGTAGCAATTTTGTTTACAGGGTGGGGTTGCTAGCCTCACGCCTGAGAAAGTAATGGTTACATTAAGATAAAGTATAGAGAGAAGCGACCTTTTGGGTTGCTCCCCTCAAAATCGGAAAATAACGGACAAAACAATGAGAACAACACCAACAAAAGGAAACAGTTAACAGAAAAAGGGCAAAAAGCGACAACGATGATACAATACAACAACATGCAATATAGTTCAGCACAGTTGGAAACTAATTATCATGCTACAAGCATCATCGAGTAAACCTGATGACAATATAAAGCTAGGCTCCGTTTTAAGATAACAAGAAGCTCCATGTATTGTTTGGGGTTTTCAGTACGACATTTGAAAAAACGCTTCGTATAAGATTGCTCACGAAGCTTAAAATTTTAGAAATAGTGTTTAGCCTGCTGACCTGGACCAAAGAAATCGTCGTCTGTAGCGGAGTATCACCTCTGAACTTTATTCCTCATTGGCATTCATAGGGGATTCGTAGCTGAGTACTATGCTTGAGATTTAAGTCCGAATACATCTATCTCGAAAGGGAAATCTGTGTTAGATTCGAGAACTACATAAATAATAACTTATTCTCACTTTTGTATATGAGGGACGCTAGTTTACAGGCATCATCAATTCGATTATTCAATGTGAATCGTTCGTAGATATAAAGTTTAATGAATATTTCAGACCACAAATGCATTATGAAGGCTGTGTTTTGTGCAAGATTTTATACAGATTCAACCAAATCGTCATGAAACTGGCATCAGCTCCAAATTTAATTAGCTGTCTGCTTTCACGTTTTCTTTATTTCTTTTTCTGTCTTTTAGTCTACATAGCATGCACTAGTTATATCTGCTATCATTATTAATAATTATTGTTTCTCTTCTTTTGACGACGACACCGGGGGACTAACTGGTGAAACGACCGACTCTATTCACAGCAGCGACAAAAGATTAGCACACTTTGCACTGCAAACAATGTATAATTAATCCGAGCACCAGTCCTTTTGGAGCTAACCAAATCTACATCAGACGAGTCGCTGGGTGAACTACGCAGAAGTTTACCGAACACCAGGAACCTCCACCTCAAAATCAAGAAGCGAGCACAGAAAAATCAAATTGGTTTACACCTGCGTGGAAAAACGATACTGGATTGGACAGCAAGATGGTGTTTTAATGCATATCAGCATGATCGAAAACTGGGCGCAATATTCTTTGAAAGCGCTTCTCAGACGGTCTTACTAATGCAGATACTTTTAGTCTAACGGTCTACCAGTTCAATGGATTTAAAAGCTGGTTTGTTACCTTATAATTTCTTATGGAATAGAGGTGTTTTTCCTCATTGTGAAGCTTTTAGAAAACGAAGGCTGTTCAAGTGCAGCTGAGGTATTCCTTCTTTTCATAACAAAATTCCTTTCCTTTTAGTTGATAAAAAAGTTTATTGACGAGAAAAAAGTAAGTGTTTTTAATTTATGATAGTTTTGTAGTTGTTACCTGAGCGAATCAACACAGCTGGATTATTATTCCACAATACATATGACAACTATGTTTGTTCATTTTCATTTCTAATTATCACTGCTTTAGGATAGTCTCCATAGCTTGAGTAGCCCGTCTTTATTGGTAGAATATTATGAGCTATTGATGAAGTTGGTGCACGATGGCAAAAGTTGCTCATCACATGCGAAAACTTTGATGGGAATTCAAAGTACCTAATTTCTTTATTACCCATATGTTTCCTTCCAGGTAGGATGAAAAGGTCGTTTCGTGCCAAAGGAACAGGTAACACATTTTAAATACCTGTCTTATGTGTTTTCAGAATTCAGTATAGGCTTGAGTGAATACAACAAGTCAAAAAAATTGTTGTTGAATCACCTACATCGATGCTCGAAGCTTCAGTTTCATATCCTCGCTCATCGTACTGCTATATACTGTTTGGAGTTTGACAAACGTGGCAAATATGTTTTCACGGTACAGTTAACAGAAATTTTGTTTTATCGGTTGATTGACTTGATTTTGGTGGTATATGCAGTAAATAAAACAAAGAAAGCTTTTACTGCTTCAGCTTCCAGTGTCATCTTTAAGTCTTATGCAAGCAGTTGTTTTGCCACGGAATGGGATGGATTTTGGGTCACACTTTAGGCAGGGCCTGGACACTATTTAGTTACGTGTTGACTTAATATGATTCAACCGGAGTTGCTGCAAAGCTCTGCCAATGAATGTCAGAAAATAAAGACCTTAGAGATTGTGTAGCAAGATTGCTGATGGTGTGTGAACATAACTGATGTGACACTAGTTGCCACCTACATATCAGACATATGGATGTAATTTAAGCATATGAAAAATTCGAAAAGTAGTTTAGTCGGTTACAGATGTGAAGTTAATTCTTCAAATGTCATGAAAAGAGTAGTTACCATACAGCTTTCAGGCTCCTATCCGTGTAGAAATGTGCATTTCAGTAGTTAAGTTTTCGGATTATTGACGTGTGTCTAGACTCGGATCACGCTGTGGTCCGTGAACGTTTGTGCTCGCGACTAAAGAGACGTAAAAAATTGCAATGAGGCTGTAACACCTTCAACTCGATCAAGATGCTGAGCGTATCTTAAACTGACATCCAGTCTGTCTGTCTGTTTTCGACATAGAACTTTGCACATATGTGCGGCCGCACTCCATGTAGCACACAAAGCAAGAAAAGAAAGTAGAAGAAATGGATATTAGAGACAGTAAACAGCAAAACAGCATAATATCCAGTCAGCTGTAGAAACAACGGTTATGTTTGTTGAAAATCTAAAACCAAAGGTTAGGAGATTCAAGTGGATTTCTGCTACTTCATCTGAACTGATGGACTGGTTCTTATGAGTTTGAAACTTAAAGAGAGAAAGCTGCTCAAGGACAAACAGGAAAAAAGGCTTTACAATAAACGTGAACAGTGGTAGGCAGCAGAATGGAACGAGATGGAAGAAGCATCGGAGACAGCTAACACCAAGCAACTATTTAGGCTTAACGAAGAAATAGGTAGCAAAAGACAAATGATAAATCAGACAATCTCCGACAAAGATATCGCCGTAATTAGCTCTCAGGATATACGACTGCAATTATGGATTATAATTATATTTCAGTAGTTTACACACAATGGTAAGTTTTTGTTTTTTGGCAATATTCTGAGCAAAATTGCTACCTGTTATCACACCAACTGTTGGAATTGTCTTGTTTTTAATTCACACAATTACGATTATTTGATCTATTCCACATTGCAGTTATGGAAGCAACATTTTGGGGGAAAATCTCACTGGCCTACAGCCACGCTCAAATCTCCCAGTATCTAACACCTTCCTGAATGGAATGCAGACGTCGGTTTTCTGTATATTACTTAGATTACAAAAGCTGTCTCTAATTTCAAACATGGCAATCATCAAGACGTGATGGAATGACTCCATAAGTGTTGAAAGATGATAGTGATAATTTGCTGTCTGGGTTAACTGAAGTGTTAGACAATGCCTGGGAATCAAGAATAGTCCCATTAGACTGGTGCAAGCAATTGGTTATCCCAGTGTAGAAGAAGGGAGACAAGTCTTATCGTGATAATCACAGGAGAATTAGCTTGACTAGTATGGTTTCTAAAGTTCTAGAGTCGATTTTCATGGGTGGATTAGGTGGTGCTTGGGAAAAACAAACAAGATAAAATCAGGCAGGCTTTAGACCAGAAAGAGGGTGTATGGATAATATATCTTCACCCTTCGGGAGATTCTGGAACATAGGTATACTTACCGGTGTCCAACAATCGCCAAATTTCTTGACGTGAAAGCAACATTAGATTCTGACGACGACCGAGGTACTATGGCAATGTTTGGCCGTGATAGGAATGCAGGGAAAATAAGTCACACCGATGAAGTCACTCCACTCGAACTCTAAGTGGTATAATACGGTGAGGAATATTGAGGTCAGGCATCGGTTGTTAGGTGGGGAAGAGAAATCAATCGACGAGGTTGTGAAACAGCTTCATCGACTGTGATAGTTAGGACATGTGTTACATATGCTGTTATGCCTAGTCATCGTCTTCCTCGACGGGGAATGTTAGCTGACATAGGTTAGATCAGGTTGGAAAAGGGTTAGTTAGTTGTGGTCAAACCAAAAGATGGCTCCATCAGTCAATGAAACCCATAACAGTTATTTTAGGTCAGCCAGCTACTTAGGGTGATGTAGACTTCCTGTTTGGGGTCTTTAGGATCCTAAGAAGCATTGGTCGAGGCAATTGGTGATTTGCCTCAAAATTGTTCTCAAGGGCGCTGATGGAATCATTCTCTGTGATCTCCCCCATACACTTAACCTTAATGCTTTTCCGTGGTATTCTTTGTTTGTTACATAGGGCGTGGCAACTCTGACTGCTAGACTTCCGTGGAAAGTTCTATGTAGAAACTCGGTTATTAAGTCAGATCTACTTATTAGTCGCTGAGTTCCAAACTAGGATCAGACAGCTGTGCAGTACTTTGTATTTTTAATTGATACAGTTTGATACCCACTTCATATGTGAAACCATCTTTTTCTATTGATTTACTGTCACATTTTAATATATTGAATCGGTACTGTCTTGCAAATAGTTTCATTTTAAAATCGAATATCCTATTCCTCTAGGGTTCGGATGATTACACTATAAAAATCTGGTCCATAAAAGGTTCAAGAAGTGCATCAGCCTGTACTTTACGGCATACTCTTCGAGGTCATGTTGCAGAAATAATTGAGCTTGCTATATCTGCAGATAATCACTTACTAGCCTCAATCGATTCAAATTGTTGTTTAGTTGTATGGTGTTTACAAACTGGTCAACCAGTAGTATCTGTACGCGGTTCACGTAATAATCGGGTGTTATCTGGTCTTGGTTTTCTTACTGTACCAAAAGTGGTGCTTTCTAAAGATGACGGTAAGAAGTTACACATACTTTGATTCTTATTCCCGAAATTAATTCAAGCATATCTGTTTCGTTAATTATTCTGTTTTATATCTATCAATAGTGATAGTCTTTCATTTTTAATGTGTTTATCTTTTCAATTAGGAAGTTACTCATTTTATTCTAACTTTTTATTATATACGCCATTACGTCTGTAGTCGCAGATGTTTTTTTAGTAGCAATATGTTATGTCACCCCAGTTCGTCAGAAGTGAATAAAAGAAAATGTGGTAAAATACGATAAATCATAATAATCGTTTGAGATAGTCATCAGTCAAAAAGATAAGACTTTTCATTGATTGTATTATTTTGTATTCAATTTGACGTTTTTGTCATCACATTATTATTTTATTCCTTTTTTCTAGTTTTATCTGATTCCAGTGAGCGTAAGCATCCTTCTGGTATGCTTATAGTATCATCTTTTGGCGGCTTTCTGCACATAATACCATATATTCACACTGTTTACTGTAATTATCATTATCATCATTATCATTCTGCTGATGAGTTTGGTAGCGCAACGAATAGTTCTGAAAACAGATGGATATGTTGTAATGTTGAATTACTTCCAGCGATTCGTTTTACAACAGCTTCTGAAGGTACTCCAAATGTATTTTGGCCATCCATTGCGTGTATTGACATTAGTCCCGGTAAGCTCTTTTTATGACAAAAAGAATATCTTTCCGTATACACACATGCTATTTTCAAAGAGAAAATCGGATAGTCTGTATTTGAGATAATCGGCCTAAGTGTTATGAGCATTTTGTTGCTTAAAATTTCAAGTTTACCATTGTTATCTTTACATGAAACAATCCAAAGAATGACTGTGACTGAGCTTTGTATTTATGTGTTTGTGTGTGGTTCTTGTAAGCCTGTGGGTGGCTATTCCATCTCGGCTGCCTACACACCGTGGAAGTTAATTTTTTCTTGGATTACTTGAAACAGGAAAAGCATTATTGTTGCGTCGTCTCGCAGCAACTGATTGTAGTTGAAAACATTTATTTCCCGATATGAATTTAAGACAAGCAACAGGGGTTAATAGTTCATCGGTGGTATAGCAGTTAGGACGCTCGCCAACCATGCACATGGTCCGGGGTTCGATTCCCGGCCAACGCACTCCTTTACCTCGCTAAGCCAGAAATAATGCTGGTAAAGAGGAAAGGTTGGGCATAAGGCTAGCAGTCCCATCCTGTAAAATAAACACTGCTACAGAAACTTCAAGCCACTAGCTTGGAGCCCTATGTTCCACTGGGGGACGTAAAGGAAAGAAAAAAACAGGGGTTAACAAGGCAGGATTTAATGAATTCATTAAATTTCGCTAGAATACTCTACATATAAGGGATATATATATATATTTATACGATACTTTGGGAGATTTGAAACTGATAAGCAAATAAACTACTTTGGATAAATCGTTCAAAACGACAGGTGTGAATTTTTTTCAGGTCATGTTCGGATAGATAAGGGGAAGGAAGTGTGAGAGATTGAAATTAAAATAAAATGCATTACACTTCACTTACATTACTGGAATAAACAGTTAGTCAGTCACTAGAGAAAGGACTAAATTATATCAAGAATTGTGAAATGAATAATGGATAGCAAGACGAGTTGAGATAATACCTCTGACGAAAGATAGTATTAAATGAATCAGGAATAATAATGAGGGGTAGAACAAAGTGTTAATAATAACAGTTAATAAGTAAAACATATTACCATGGTAGATTTAGAGTGACCACCGTTTCTTTTTGTAGAATGAGACACCTGGTTTATAAACTCTAATTGCACAAACCTTCACAATTGCAAGCATCTTTTTGTTTGTGTGTCTGCTGAAAACGGTGTGAATGACTTGACAGTGTGTCAGTGTCATGTTCGTAGTTCACAAGATGTTTTGTCATTAAGGTTTTTGGCACTTTGCATTTAGCTGTTTTCAACCACAACTTTGGCAAATGCTTCATCATGCGAGTGGAAAGTTGACTTTCTGTAAGACCTACGTACTGGCTCCCAAAAATACACTCAAAATGATATACGCAGTGTGATGTGTTGAGGACTGGCGACTGGTCTTTCCCAAATTGTTGAAGCATGTGCTTGGTGGTGTTTTGCAGACTCTACAATTCTCTTGACAGCTTTATTAATTCTTCATTTGACTACTTCTTGTACACATCATGTCTTTTGAATGGCAAATTGATTGAGACAGATTTCTCTGGAACTGTTTGGATAGTTTTAATGGGACTCATTTCTTAAGAGTATTTATTAATGAATTTCTCAGGATATCCATTCTTAGATAAAACATCCTTCAGAGCTTTTATGTCATGTTCAGTTGTACTGTCAGAACAAAGTTTTCGTGCTGTATTGAACAGTATTCTGACTAAGTTCTTTTTATACTGGATTGGAAAAGAATTTTTGATGTGTATGTACTATCCTGTCCGTGAATACTTTCTAAATGTAGATCTTTCGACTGTGCCATCAGTCCTTTTCACTCGACAAACATCTGCGAATTTAATAGTATCATTTTCCTCATGTTTTATTATGAAGTTGAGATTCGAATAGCATGAGTTGAATTTTATCAACAGGTCTCCAGCTTTTCGATCTGCTTTCACGGCTTGTTCGAATTGTGTTTTGGTATTTTGTCCATATTCAGATCGTACTGCACCTTGAGGCTAAGGACCAGCGGAGGGTAAATTGGAATGTACAATTTTAGGAGTTAGCCTATTCTTAGCCCCTCGCTGTCTAGAGTGGAGATACAGCATTACTGGCATGCTAGTTATCTGAGGGGCGGGGGGAACACCCGCCTACTTGTGTATTATTCCCACTGGGATATATAAAAGATCAAAACAAGTGATTCAGCAAAGAGACTGATATGTATCCACATGATGTGTGTTTTGTTTGTGACAGTCTATTATATTTTGCTATGTGTATATGGATCGATATTTCATTATAACTGACAATATGCTTTTGTCTGTCCACTAACTAAATAAACATGTATGACCTTGTTGTCACATGACATTACAAACAATCATGTTAAGACTGGCTATTTATTGGTTCATGTGTATTAGCCATTTTCATATATACTTTTATACTGTATTCTTTGTTCACACGCTTTTTCGTACATTCGTACCATTTCACTCACACACTAGTGTGACATTTATTTTCCTTGTCTGGAAAATACAAGTATCATCGTAAACCTGGTGGTCTTCTGATTTCCCTCTTTCCGCATTAGGACTATTAACTACTCGACGAGTACATAACAGAGACTGATATCAATGAGTTTATTATCAAGCTGTACAGCCAAGCAGGAACCGATAGTGCAACAAATACGCAGGAAGAAATGGACGTGGACTGGATTGGCTATACTCTGAGGAAACAAACCGTCACCAAGTGACATCACACGACAGGCCATTGCTCGAGTGGAACCCGACTGGACAGGAAGCGGCGAGTTGGTCGTCAGTGCGAGGGTGACATAGAGGAGGTCATGTGAAGAAGAGATGAAAGCATGTGCGCAGATGTGAAGCTAGGTGAAAATATTGGTGGAGAACCAAGCGCAATGGAGACGTGCGGCTGGAGCCCTATGTTCCTCTAGGAACTAAAGAAAATTATATATATATATATAATTTTCTTTAGTTATGGCCTGTCGTGTGATGTCACTTGGTGACGGTTTGTTTCCTCAGAGTATAGCCAATCCAGTCCACGTCCATTTCTTCCTGCGTATTTGTTGCACTATCGGTTCCTGCTTGGCTGGTTAGGTCATTGCCAGAGATCCCTGTTGCTGATCTTTTCTGGCCGGTCATCTGATCTTTTTTGTTTGATTTACAGCTTGATTCCACACTGTATTTTTGGTACATGTATGGAATTTTCAGCATGGATATCGGTAGCCCAAATTTTGCAGGCCGACCATAGATATCAGGTGTGCGTCGGCGTGGGCTCGAACCCCGGACCATGTGAATGGTCGGCGAGAGTCCTAACCACTGTGCCACCGACGCACTTGATCATTGAGCGAAGATAGGTGTTGATGAAGAAGGTCTGTAGTTTGTTCGAAGTGCCCTTCGTGACGCGCCAAGAAAGAAATTATAACCTGTCAGGAGGTTGGAACCAAGATGTGAATATATAAAATAATAATAGTAGTATGAAATGTAATTAAAATGTTTCCGATTCTAATCATAGTTAGATGTCATGTGGCAAAACGAATAATGTCATATATACATAGCATAGTTCATAGAATGTATAGAAGTTGGTTTCAATCCCCTCAGGAAATATAATTTCTTGAAAAAGCCCGTATGTATATACACCAATGTACAGCTTGATAATAAATTCATTGGTAAGAGTCTCTTCACTGAATCATTTGCTTGATTTTCTATACACCCTTATTCTCCAGCTGTGTACGACTTTGCCTACAGATCTTCAAAATATTGTAAACAAACTTACACTATGACGATGACTGCGCTTAGTCTAATTGCTGTCCAAAGAACCTTTCTGGCATGGTATGACCTTCGTCAACTAACGTTAATTACAGGCAGTTTAGTTCATTGCGATGTGCAAGCCCGAGAGAGTTTTATTCAACTCAGACTCATTAGAAGTGATTATTTCGTAATGTCCTCACCTCAGTAGGTGGTTTCTCCTCCTGGAGGGTTTTTAAAAGATCTCACCTCTGCCATGTGGACATTTCGTGTCTGTTGTCTACAGGTCAATTTGAATCATGTGTGTGATCGTGGAAAAAGGTGTCAAGGGAGAAGGAGGTAAACGCCGTCTCAAAGTCCTCCATGTTAACATTTAACATATTACAAAGCCAGCTATCCCCTCTCTCGTCCGTCTTGGTGGTGGTGTGAAACTCATCTCATCTTTGGTGTGATTTACTAAGAGATTCGTGGTGTTTTCAAAGTATTTTTGAAGAGTGGTATCTGTGACGCTGTGACATACACCGAGCATGCAGAGAGAGGAAAGCTGTCATTTCTTTGGATGTTGTATATGCATTGAAATGCCTTGGTTGTACTTATTTGGGTTTTGTTGGTCGCTGAGAGATTACTTTGAGACCAGTGAGCACGTTTGGGCGCGCACGAGAAAGTATCTAGGATGTGATGGAACTATACTCTACTAAAGTTCCCAAGTTCTATTTGAATATATATCCGAGACTTAAGTGTTACTGAAATTATTTCAATGAGTATAAATCACATTAAGTCCAGTTGCTGTAGTTTAACTGAATTCTTTCTAACGTTAAATATGTTATTTACATACGGCCTGGTTATCATATCAAATGTGCTCCTCTTTGATATATGTATTTTTTATTACTCTAGGTGGACTTTTAGTGGCAGCTGGTTGTTCAGATCAGAATATCCGTTTGTATCAATTCACGAATCCATTAAAACCAGAACCAGCTGGTATACTGGCTGCTCATGAGGTAAGTTCAGTGTACTAATTGCTGAGAGAAAAAGAAATCACACCACTGGTTGATGTGAGTGGTATCCAGCTCTAACTACTCATATAAATCAATCAGTAGTATATATTTTTTACGTGAAAATTCAGTTCACTTTCTTGATTACCGTATGAGGTATGAATTAATATGGTTTCTAAAGAAAACCGGGGTGAAAATTTCACCCTTTCAAACTGTTTACATTTCAAAGTGGCTACAGTAATTGACGAATTGTTATGCCATGATCTGTACAATAGACTTACATTAATGGATCATTGATATTAGCACTTCTATTTCAGGCTATCTGCTGAGGTTTATAAAAGATCAAGTTTTTATCATGAGATATCCATAAATACTTTTAGTTTACCGATAGATATTTGTAGTCTCACTGGGAGTCGCTTAGTTACTGTGACACAAGCACTGGTTGGTGGACTAATAAAGTGGTTGCATTCTTATTTTTCTGACAGAAAGTAGTACACTGTTCACAATGGAAAGTCCTTCACTGCTTCACTTACTCCAGCTGGTACTCTACAAGGTAATGTTCTCTCTTCTTTTCTGTCATCTTTCTTCTTAAATGACTTGCTGCATTCTGCTGAAGGCAATTTTATTAAGTTTGCTGATGATCTGACTGCTTCTATGTGTGTTACTTCTCTGTCAAACTGTTCTGAATCAGAAATTAGTAGTCCCTGCAAATGTCAGTCAGGTGGTTAATTTCACTCTCAAACTCAAGTGTGTTCGCATGATTCTAGTATCATAGGTGGCACTGAAGTCGAAACTGAGTCGAATGCTAAATAACTTTCTTGGTCTAACCACATCATACTAGTTTCCAGAAATATATTTCGTTTGACATTGTATGTTAGGAAGTTAAAACGATCTGGTATCATACAGTCTCTACTTTCAAAGTGTTAAATTTTTTATTCTACAGATGTGGAAAGGCTAGCTGTCTGTGTTCATTGTTCCGTGTCAGGTGGTGTAATAGGGTAAGTAATATTGAGGTCAGGCATCGGTTGTTAGGTGAGGAGGAGAAATCAATCGACGAGGTTGTGAAACAGCTTCATCGACTGTGATAGTTAGGACATGTGTTACGTATGCTGTTATGCCTAGTCATCGTCTTCCTCGACGGGGAATGTTAGCTGACATAGGTTAGATCGATCAGGTTGGAAAAGGGTTAGTTAGTGGTGGTCAAACCAGAAGATGGCTTCATCAGTTCATGAAATCCACAGCAGTTTTCAACAACGTATGAAAGTCATGGTGTGGACAGATGGTGGTGCAGTTTATTGGCAGTATAGCGCGTAACCTCCAGTTAGCAGGTTATTCTCTGTCTGTGTGTCTGTTTTCGACATAGGACTTTGCACAAATGTGCGTCAGTTCAAGCCGCCACACTCCATGTACCACACAAAGCAACAGAAAATAGAAGAAATGCATAATCGAGACAGTAAACAGAGGTGCGAGACAAAGGAATAGTAGTAACGAAGAACGAAACAGTTTCATTGGAATCATAAGTCACAAGGAGTGGATGCATCTGCGCCAGCCATTGAGAACGATTTTGGGCCTTGTCACCAATTGTTTCCAACCATTGTTTTTTACCACCCTGAGGACCCCAACCAGTCAGGAAGTCTACACCTTCCTACGTGGCTGGCTTAGACTAACAGTTGTAGATTTCATTGACTGGTGCCAAGTTTTTGTTTAACCACCGCTACCTCTTTTCCAGCCTGGCCATATATCCGCTAACATTCCTCGTTGAGGAAGGCGATGACTAGGCATGCATATGTAACACATGTCCTAACCATCTCAGTCGATGTAATTTCACAGCCCCGTCGATTGATTTCCCCTCTTTACCTAGCACTCGACCAAAGCCTAACCCCAATATTGCTCACCACTTCACACGGGAGATAAAACGCAGGCACTTTTGATCAAAGACAGCTAATAAGGCTTTTCATGTCTTCCACTCTCAATGGCCAGGTCTCACAGCTGACCATAAAGGAGGACGGAGCGGACTGATGAGCAGTACACCCGCCCTTTGGTCAATAGTCGGATATCATGTCTACTCCAGAGACGGCGTAAACTGACAGGCATATGCGAAACTAGCCTTCTGTATCGGTGCTGAGATTTCGTCAGAGATCAACCTGTTGGCGCTGGCTGATGGTACTTCTTCTACGTTTGAAATAGCTCTTCAGTACTCGCTGGGTTTTTTAATGGTTCTCTAATTCATATCAATCCGTCGGTAAACTTGAAACTAGAATGGTATTTTATCCAAGACGTTATTACATTAAATTTGGTTCTATCATATGATTGAATGGTAGTTATTAGGTAGAACATGAATGTGTCTAGGTGATGAGTAAGCTTTCAACAAACTTAAAACTATGCAGTTAGATAAGATGAAATGTGTGAAAGCTTTTGAACGAGTTACTGATATATTTTATCCTACAGAAAGAGGAAGTGACTGTGACTCTACACAGAGTGTGACTGTCTGTCTTGATTTCACTTGGGGTGAAAGAGACCACTTTGAAAATAGTTTTCAACACGTTAGTGATTTTTTTCGGAGTGGACATAAAAGCTTGTGATGTGAGCAGTTGTCGAGCCAGGTAGAAAAGACGGCAGTGAAAGATGTGCTACTGTGAAGCCCTATGTCCCACTCGGGACCCATGGGACGAATAATAATCATGATGGTAATAATATGGTCTTTTAATTGCGAATGGACATTTATCGCAATGGAGGTTTTCCTCCTCAATTTGATGTTAGAAGCTACTACATGTATTAGTGATCTATGTATTCGAGGGAGCCAAATGCAAGAAGTTTCAATTGCTGTTGAAGTCCTGTGTACACTTTAGAACGAAGCAAAGTAAAATTTTGATTGTAAAGCTTAGAAAAAAAATAAAACCGTTTCTTCGTTTCTGGACTTTGTGTAACTAAATTATCTGACTGAACTGATAAAATCGTATGGGTGGATGTTGGACTCGTCAGTTTGTTTATTTAAGACAGAGATGGGTGGTAGTCGCTGAACCCGACGAAGTACAAGAGTATAATTGGTGTTCACAACTGAGAGATGTTCTGTTTAGACTGAAATGCAGATTATTTTGAAGTTCTGCCCTTCAGCTCTTTCAAACTTTCATTTCAGTTTCCTTCATCAGACATAGGACTTCAACGGCACATCTCTATTTTGTCTTATTTTCTTCACTCCGCTTTAACTGGCCCCAAAATTTCTCTCATAGTCTCTGATCTCTTCCTCGCATAATCTTCATGTCACCCTCGGACCAACGTCGAACTCATTGTTCCCCATTTGAGTTCCACCCTAGCGATTGCCTGGCTGGTGTGCGATATCACTCTACGATCTCATCAGCGTGTGTCTGGTCCATTTCCACTTTCTTCTACATATTTTTTGAGGAATAGGTTCTTAGTTGGTATATTACCATAGTTTCTTGTTGCTGATTCTTTCTGACCGACCGGCTATTTGATCTTCAATATGGAACCAGAGAAGTTGGCAGATGTTGAAATAAGCCTGCAATTTCCTTTGTTAACTCGCTGATCAAGTCTTTGGTCTATATAGAAGCAGTGACTGATTTAACATTATTGTTGAAGATCGGAATCTTATTCTTGAAACTGATTGAATGTAGAAGATATTTCCAAACTGTTTTCAGACTACTGAAGAGTATGTTAGTAGGTATTGACTGATTAATTAATTAACCGGTATTTTTCTCTACTTATGAATCTGTAATAACAGTCGACTTAAAGTGAAAGAGACAGTCGGTCATTATTATCTAACTTGTCTCATTTATTTTCTTTCTTATTTCATTATATAATCTTTGTTGTAGGAAAGTGTGAACAGTGTAGCATTTAGTCATTGTGGACTAAAATTAGCTACTGGCAGTTCAGTTGGTGCAAGTTGTTGCTTATGGAAACTTCAAGCTGGCCAATGGAGAAGTATGAAGTTACAATTTGGTAAAAGGTTAGTGGTTTGTTGTATATTCTTTCACATGAAAGCTTTTTGTTCTCTATTCCGGGTTACTGGCTTATATAATTGACATTTCTGACTGGTGAATAGTAATGTGGCGTGTACTACTGACGAGATTTATAAGTAGTATATAGATTAAGGTATAATTATGCATATCAGCTGCAAGAATATCAAATAGCAGATAGGTGGAATTAGTAAAAGATGCTTGTTTAAAACAACATGGCAAAAATGAAAGGAAAATGAAGAAGCACAAGCAAATTGTGTTTCCAATGTGTCATTGTTGTTCCCTTGGATTCCGAGTTGGGAACATAGGAGGGCTTCAATAGCACATCTCCGCTTTGTTCGATTCTTTGCAGTCTTCCTCAGTTAAAGCTACGATTACCCATAGGCTGTCATCTCCTCCGTGTTAGTATCAGACTAATGCCCAACTTGTCCTTTCTCATTTGGATTGCCTAATGTGCGATATCACCTAACGGTCTCCTCAACGTGTATCCGATGCATCTCAATAATCTTCGACATACTTTTTGATTGGGTTCGTCTGCAGTGTTGCTTGTTGTTCGTTGTTTCTGTTCGGCCATTTAATCCTCATTATGGAGCAAGCGAAGACAATTATTGATAAAAGTTTCCAGTGGTAGTCTGTTACAAATACTTTTAGTGACGGGCTTACTGAGTTTCTGACCTATATAGAAGAACTGACTGACTGACTGACTTAACGTTGGTGCGTTTATATGTTATATAGTAACGGTAGAAGCTTCTGGTAGACAAAATTCCAAACAGACCACGAAGTATTCTTGTTGTTCACTGTGGTGGTGTATTTAAAACAGACACCTATACATTCGTATTTACATTTTCTAAATCAAAAGAAAACATAAACAAAAATACAGGTACATGCATTGACGAGTTCCAAATGGAACGAAACGCGCATCCTGGATTCCACTGTTAGTCTCACCATCCACCAATTAAAAACAAACTTATTTTGTATTATTTTTTTTAGAGTGAAATGTCGTCCCTGTTTATTAGTCTGGTCTATACACGATCAATATTTAATCTCTTCCATGAAGAATGGATCTGTTTATATCTATTTTGGACATAGTGGACAATTGGTTACAGTGATTGATGTAAGCGAAAAATGTGTTGTGATTTGTTTACATGCGCCGTATTCAGCATATTATTTACAGCTTCTCTCTCTCTCCCTCTATCCCTTCAAGTATATTTGTATTTTACGAGTTGATCACAGGTTGATATCAGTTAGAGAACCATTGAAAACCTCCATGGAGTACTGGACAGCTGTTTTATCCCACTAGTTTGGGAACAAATCGGCAGTACTCACCCACCACCAACGGGTTTGAACCCAGGATCTTCCGGCTACATGTCAAGCTAGCTCGTATACCATCCAACCACTGTAATCTGATTCACTGGCCAGCTCATGAATTCTAACCTCTACTGTGTCGACGATTCCCAAACTAGGATGAAACAGCAGCTGCCCGGTGTACTCCCTGGCGGTTTTCAATGGTTTTCTAACTGATATCAATCCGTGATCAACTCGTAGAAACAAATCTAATCCTTACAAACCAACTATTGAAAAGGTATATTTGCATATTTTACGCCATTTTGTGGTTTAATAGGTGTGAAATCCAGCTGTATTATGGATAAAATTTTATTTTGATCAAGTCTCACAGTGTTATGCAGTAATGTTTACTGTTAATGTTTGGAGCACAAATTATTGCTCACAATCATATCAAGGCATATTCACACAATTTTATTGCTTCATGAGTAAAAATTGATTATGAGCAATAATTTGTGCTCAAAACTGTGTGATTTTATCAAAATAAGATTTTATCTGTAATGGAGTCATACACTACCACAGTACCCAAGTCTTATCCTTATATTAGTGAAATTCGACCGGCTATCGATCAAAGGATGTGTGTACTGCACAGCACCAATTCGCTTCTTCCTCCTTTATGGCTGTCAGTGGAACATGGTCATTAAAAATGAAAGACATGGAAAGACAAACTAGCTATTTTTGATCATAGGTGTCTGCGTTCTTTTTCCCGTGTCAGGTGGTGTAATAGGGAAAGTAATATTGAGGTCAAACAACGGTCGACTGTTAAATAAGGGGGGGGGAATCAATCGACGAGGTTGTGAAACAGCTTCATCGATTGAAATGGTCAGGACATGTGTTACGTATGCTGTATGCCTAGTTATCGCCTTATTCGACCCACAGTGTTGGCTGACTGAGTAGGATCAGACTGGAAGAAAGCTCGTGGTGGTCAAACCAAAATATGGCTTCATCAGTCAATGAAATCCATAACAGTCAGTTTAGGCCAGCCAGCCAGCCAGCCAGCCAGCCAGCCAGCCAGCCAGGTGGGGAGGTGTAGAATTCCTAACTGACTGGTTAGAGTCCTCAGGATTTTAAGAGCCAGTGTCTGTAGACAAATGGTGATGTGGCTGAAAATCGTTGTCAATTGCTGATGGAGATGTATTCACTCTTTGTGATTTGTCATACATAATGAAACTCTATTCTTCTTCTTCCATATTAGTACTATTCTTTTCGTATCACTCACACTTGTGTTTATTTTCTCTCTTTTGTTGAATCTGTCATTATTATTATTATTGCTCCCTTGGGTTCCTAGTGGAACATAGGGCTTCAATTGCACGTCTCCACTTGCCACTTCTGTCTTCCTTCTGCTGTACTTTTCACCTGCATCCATGTCAGTCCATACTGTTTCAACTCTTCATACGATCTCCTCCATGTCACCCTTGCACTCACGTCCCACTCACCGCTTCCCTTTCGGGTTCCACTCGAGGGCTTGACGCGCGATGTCACCCAGCGGTCTCCTCAGGGAGTGTCCGACCCATCTCCACTTTCTCCTGCATATTTGTTGGGCGATTGGTTCTTGCTTTGTTTGTTCCCATAATTCGTTGTTGGTGATTCTTTCCGGCCCGGCCATCTGATCTTCAGTATAGAGCAAAGACAGTTGGTTTTTAATAAAGGTCTGCAACAGGTTGTTGGAAATACTCTTTGTGACCCGCCCGCCAGGTTTCTGATCCGTATAGAAGAGCTGACTGACTTGACGTTTGTATTGAAAATCCGACTGAATTTTGTTGTTGGTGCTGAGTGACGAAGATTTCCAGATTGATTTCAGTTTGATTAATGTGTTTCTCGCCTTCCTGATTTTTGGTTTGACATCCTCATCCGTTCCACCAGCTGTAGTTGAGACAATACTCCCTAGATGATAAGTGAATAAAGTCACCTCTTTCAAATCCCTCCCGTTGATGGTGATTGGCACTGGATGTTGCTGTTGTTGTTGTTGGCTAGTTGGTTATTTTCATCACCGTCTTGTCGATGTTCACTTGGAGTCCTGTCTTCGCCGGCTGCTTCTTCGACCAGTTTGTCGGTTTTCTCTTGTAAGTCTTCGATTTTGTGTGAAATCAAACGTAAATCATCCACACGCGAAAGCCAGGTCTTCTAGGTTCTTCACGTCGGTCCCTGTCTTCTGGTTTCCAACTGTCTGACGCATAATCCAGTCCATGACAATTAGGAATATCATTGGTGAAAATAAGCATCTCTCATTACTCTCTTTTATCTTGCTTTATGTGCTCGAAATAGTGCACACCTGTGCAGAGTAGTTTTATGTTAAAACGAGTCTGTCAATCAGTCAGTTATCCAGGCATATTTGTATATTTCAGCAGGTTTTCATCACAAGATAAATAAATTTGTAAGAATTTCACGGTAGTGTTTGTCATCTGAAATTAGTTTCTCGTAAGAAATATTTATTTCACCATAAGAAAGAATTTAAAAATAAGCAACGAAAGTTAATAATTAATTTAAGGAGTTAATAAGTTGATGAAATTTCAGTAGAGAACTCTTTAGTTGCTTTCACAAACACACTAGAGTTGGCATACACAGTTTGAAGCGTTGAGGATTGGATACCGGATTGTTGAAGCATCCGCTGATTGGCGACGAAATCTCAGCACGGATCCGTAAAGCTCGAGCTACTTTCGCTAGCTTGCACCATCTCTGGCGTAGGCGTGACATCCGGCTATCAACCAAGGGACGTGTGTACTGCTCACCAGTTCGCTCCGTCCTTCTCTATGGCTCTGAAACATGGCCAATACGAGTTGAAGACATGAAAAGGTTGACTGTTTTTGATCATAGATGTCTACGATCTCTTTCTCACGTTAGTTGGTATAATAGAGTAATTAATGTTGACGTTAGGCGTAGAGTGTTGGGCAAACAGGGAAAATCAATCGACGAGGCTATAAAGTTACATGGATTGAGATGGCTAGGTCACGTGCTGCGCATGCCTAACCATCGCCTCCCCCGACGGGCATTACTAGCTGATATAGGTAGTGCAGGTGGGAAAAGAGTAAGTGGTGGCCAAACAAAAACGTCATCAATCCATGAAATAAATCCTTGACAGTTAAACTGAGTCGGCCAGGTAGGGAGATGCAGACTTCCGTCCGGGTTGGGGCCCTCGGGACTGACTCTAGGAATCAATGGCTGGAGGCGATAGGCGACATGGCTCAAAATCGTTGTCAATGGCCAGCCCAGATGTATTCAGTCTCTGTAATCTTTCATATTCCTTTCTACCATTACCCATTCTGTTTCACTCTTATACTTGTCAAACTCTATTGATTCTCTTCACTCATCTTCTTGTCTACCTCTGTGTGCTATTTGGAAGGTGGCAACTCGAACTGGTGCACTTAGGTGCCAAGTTCTATGTTGCAACCAGACAGACAGAATAGTTCTACCGAAATTTGATGAATTCATTAAATCTCTGCTTTATGTTAAGCTCTGTTACTTGTTTCAACATTTTTCATGAGTTGTCTGTTTCATTTAAATTCTAAAGTTCTCTGGATATGTGTGTGTATATATCCAGAGTGTGAAGAGAAATAGTTGAGCCGTTGCGTCATTTTGTTTACGCAACTACATATCTCTAGTCTTTTGTGTTATAGTGCTTAACTGACTGTTGCCTTTTAGGCACTGTTCCAAGCTTCTGAGGTGTATGTCGTGCTAGTACTTTATGTGTTAACTGCTCCACATTGTCGTACGCCACCTTTTCCCAACCTTTCAGCAGCCTCCCTAGCACATCTACCTTCGCCGTCGGGTCCTTGATGCCCACCAAGAAAGACTTGGGGACAGCATCGAAGTTCCGAGTAGGAGATCATGATGTCTCCATCTTTGAGAGCAGCGAGCCATGGGATCTTCACTGTCTGGAGGTAGTGACACCAGTTATAACGGGAGAAGGCAAGATACTTGATAACGGACTTTATTATTAAAGAGAATCACGCTATATTTATACATTTTTAACCACAGTTACGGTTGGCTAGGTTAACGGTTAGTGAACTGTTCTGATAGGTTGCTGATTTTCTGAAGGTTAAACTCTGAGATTATTCCCTTACCACAACGTAAGCAGTCTGGTCCAGATTTGAGAAATAAACACTTCCTCCTACTTCTGTAGCCAATAACTTAAAATGTTTGCAGTTGTGGCTACCTCTTGCATCAATCTGCATCTGTATTTTTTTAAAATTTCTTTACTTTCCCAGCGGAACATCATAGGAATTCAAGCTAGAGGCTTGAAGTTTCGGTAGCAGTGGTTTATATTTTTACGGGATGTGGTTGCTAACCCCATGCCCAACCTTGTCTTTTTACCAGTCTTATTACTGGCTTAGGAAGGTAAAGGAGTGTGTCAGTTGGGGATTGAACCCCGGACCACATTGGGCGTGGTTGGAGAGCATTCTATCGCCGCGCCACCGATGCTTCTGCATCTGTATACTAATGACAATTCTTGTCAGTGGTGGCACAGTGGTTAGGACTCCCGCTGACCATGCACATGGTCCGAGGTTCGATCCCCTGCCGACGCACACCTGATATCTATGGTCGGCCTGCGAAATTCGGGCTACCGATATCCATGCTGAAAATTCCATAATTGTACCGAAAATACAGTATGGAATCAAGCTGTAAATCAAAAATAAAAAAAATAAAATAATTCTTTATGGCAGGATACGTATTCCTCACTATAGAGCGAAGGCAGCTGTTGATAAATGTATGAAGTCGGTTAGGAATGCTTTTGGTGATACCCGCGCCATATCTGCGACTCATATAGAAAAATTGACAGAGTTAACATTAGTGTTGAAACTCCGAATTTCGTTCTTTGTGCTTATCGCAGTTGATTTCCAAACTGACTTCAGAGTGATAGATGTCTGTCTTTTATTTCCTGTTCGGTTGGCACTATTCTTATCCGTGCCTTTTGTAGTCGAAACGATGCCTCTCAGATAGATGAAGGAAATAACTTTTTTCATGTATATCCCGTTGACAAAGATAAGTTATCTTCATTAACTCTGTTTCCTCTATGTTTATTTAAAGTCCTGTCTTCACCGCTCACATTTTCTTCCAACTTGTTGGTTTTCGCCCGTATGTCTTCAAGTTTGTATGACATTGGACATCAACCGTCCGCGAAATCCAGATCTTCTAGATCTTCTGGGCCGTTAGGCGTAACACAGCTCTGTCTTCTTCCTCACAGTCTTCCGTATAATCCAGTCCACCACTGTTAGTAATATCATCGTGGGTTATAGTAGGCAGGCTTGTCTTACTCCTTCAATCCAAAGGTACCACTGAGGTTTTCCTTGTGGAATCAGTTCACACGCACCATTGTCATATAGCTGTTGAATGAGGTTGGTAAAGATTTGCTTAATTACAGGATTTCATCATGAGCTGACATTGGTTGGAGAACCATTTGAACACCTGGGAATACTGGACAACTGTTTCATCCTAGTTTGGGACTCTTCAGCAGTACGCACCCACCGGGGTTCGAACCCAAGGACCTTCTGGTTACAAGGCGAGCTCGTCTACCATTAAGCCACTGGGACCCAATCCAATGGCCAGACCATGAATTCTAACTTCTGCCAATTCACGACATAGCGCAAACCCTAGCCAATGTCTTCGGCGAGTATCAAATCCCTACAAACCAACACTTGAATATTTACTGAATTGGTTTCAAATAAAACAGTTTATTTCGATATGGATTTTGGAGAGTATGTTATTCGTTAACCTTAATAACACTTATGTAGTTAACAAAATCCACTTATTTTTTTTCGTAATTCCGGTTACTATTCATTCATGCTTATCGTGAACACAGTTTCACATCAAAATATAAGGCGATAATATATCGCCAGCATATGTGTGTCTGCACGATCTGCATGCACATCGGTGGCCCGGCGGTTAGAATGTTGGCCAGTCATGCGCATGATCCGGGTGTCGATCCCCGGTCGACGCACACATGATATCAATGGTCGGCCTGCTAAACTTTGGGCTATCGATATCACATGCTGAGAATTCCATACATGTACTAAAATAATGTGTGAATTCAAGTTATAATAAAAATATTTAAAAAAGGTGCAATCCAGTTAGTTTACTCAGCGTATATCTACCTTGCCAGACTTGGCGTTGTCTATGGGGTAATTAATCAGCCAATTGGTTAATAATTGCCAGATACATCCTCTTATCTTATCACTTTTTGTGTAGTCTATGATGTGTGTTTATGATTTCTATTCATTATTTCAGGGACATGAAGGCGCCATTCATGCTGTATCTCCATCACCATTCGATGAAAATATTTTAGCCACAGGTGGAGTTGACGGTCGTTTTCAATTGTGGAATATTTCAAATCTTCGACGTTATGAACAGCATAAAAAACAGTATGATGAAGAAAGTCATCTGTTTGCTGAAACAACAACAACTGGTGGTCTTGCATCATCGATAGAACAGCCTCTACTATTTCATCATCGTTTCCCTCCTAGTGAACTGGATGTTACACAAGGCTTAGTATGGCGTTTTAACGATCCTACAGATGATCAACCGATATGGCCTCGTGGAATTCCAAATCCTTTCATCCGGAGAAATACTCGTGAACAATCAGGGTTGATGGTGGTAGATCAGACGACGAATACAACAAGTGAGAATATTACTGGTACTGGTAGTACTAGTTATACGTCTAATCATTCATCATCTCTTCGTACACTGACAGAATCTCGTTCTTCTACTTCGGGAACAAGAGGAGGTGGTGGTGGTGGTGCAACAAATAGTAATACTAAATTACAGCGAATAACCGCCTGCCGTGTATTACCTACAGCTGAAGGTGTTGGATTCCTTGTGGTTACAAAGAGTGGTGTCATGTCATTATTTTCTCCATCAGAAGAATCTACATCTTACACTTCTCAGGTGAGGTTACTGTTATTTGGGCGCGTCATTTAAATTTGAGATGAGGAGAGGAGAGGAGATAGCGTGTGATGATCCGTCCCAAGCAGTTGGTCCTCTTGGCCCTGTGCAATCACGCAAACACTAAGGCTCCTGTTTCAGTTCAGCCAGTCAGTTAATCTGACTTGCTGAATGGCTACTTGAGTCGTGACATTAACGTTCTGGGTTCGATCCCTAAAAGCTTCAGAGGACAATACTACTAAAGAGTCCAAAAATAGCAATAAACAACAATTTTAATTATCTTACTAACATAAAGGGAGGTGAAAATTAGAATAATATTGTATTATATAGATAACGATGTTCACAAGACGGTGTGATTCAAAATCTATTTGTGTCAGACATGTGTAGGTTCATGTACACCTATTTGTGAACCAAAACTGCTGTTTCTTCGAGGCAAGGGTGCTGATTAACTGTGGGGTTAGACAGGGTTGTCCAATCTCTTCATTTCCCCCTAACTCTGAAGTCAGTTCTGAAGGAAATACTTGGTGGTGGCGGTGTAGATCTACTTCCTGGAGAAGGACTTTTCTACCTCGAGTATGCAGACGATATTGTCTTACTGTGCAATAGCATGCAAACCGCCTAAATCGCACTTAATCAGCTGTCAATCAGTGTCTAAGTGCAAAGTACTGTTAGAAGATTAGCTACCGGGAGCCTGTACTTGTACCTCACTCTTGCAGGTAAACCTCTTGAAGTTGTCGACAAGTTCGTGTATCTGGGTAGCTGTATGAGTGCTGACATATGTGTGATTGACGAGATTCCCAATCGTATCATAAAAGCTAGGGTGGCATGCGCTAATCTGAGCCACCCCTGGCGCCGTCGTGGCTTTAGCATGGTTGTCAAAGGTCTGGTTTACAACGCTTCGGTGTATGCAGTCTTACTTCACGCCTACGAAACCTGTCCCCTCCGAGGTGAGGATGTCCGGTGACTGCATATGTGACCATTTCTGTTTCCCTAAAATTGCTTGCATTCTTTGGCATCATAGAGTATGTTTGGACATGGTAGAAGCCACCATTCATTGAATGTCGTCATCTGGAAACACCACCTTTGGTGGCTTAGATATGTGTTACGAATATCATCCCAGAGGCTTCCATACCCGTCTCTGACTGCTAGTCAGCCTTGAGACGGGATGGAAAAGACAGAGATTTGGTCATTCAGCTCATGACGTGGCGTCGTGGGATAAAGGACATTTGTACTCGGTTAGCATCGATTAGTGGTGCATCACAACAACTACCTGATTGTGGGGTCTGAGAGATAGCTCGAATCGGTTGCTCCTAACGTTATCCGATATGTCCAAGAATCGCAATCACCGATGGCAAACATGCCGCAATTTCCTCTTTTCGTGCCTTTCAGACAATAATTTGACGAATGTTATTTGATCATGTTAAATATAGCTCCTTCGTTTCTGGATGGAAGCCCTTTATTCATTGTCTACCTATTTTTCCCCATACGTCGTTGTTTTATTAGTTTTATTGTATGGTGCATTGCATGTAACTTTTTCACCATAGTGGTAATAATTAAAACAGGGCACTTACATCGATAATATTGTCCAATATGAATGTAAAATTAAGTGAAAGTATCAGAGACCTGGCGCGTCATAAAGAGCATCTCAAACAAACTACAGACCTTGATTAACAGTTGTCTGTGCTCAATACTCAAGATCAGATGGCCGGCTAGAAAAGATCAGCAACAGGGAGGTATCTCTGGCAATGAACGAACCAACCAGGAACCGATTGTGAAACGAATAGGCATGAAGAAATAGAGATGCATTCGCCATACTCTGAGAAAACCATCAAGTGACATCCATCACGCGCCAAGCCATTGCTCGAGTGGAAACCGAATGGGAAATGGAGAGGTGGTCGTCCAAGGGTGACTTGGAGGAGGTCATGTGAAGAGGAGATGAAAGCATGTGGGCAGACTTGGAGCGGGGTGAAAAAGTTGGCAGAAAACCGAAGGCAATGGAGACGCGCGACTGAATCCCTTTGTTCCTCTAGGAACTAAAGGATAAAATAATAATAATCATTAACATCAGTACCATAATGAAGGAAAATAAGGCCGTTAACTGAGACTTCCTTAATAAGTTGGTAATGTCCTGCCCTACACTTTTCTCATCACGTAAAATATGTGCTCCAAATTAAGTTATGGTAAAGTTTTTGTACTTAGTCATCCGATCATGTTGACTTTTATAGTTGCTCCTATTTCCACCTATTTGAGATGAGATATCGCTGTCTTCGCAGGATTGCTTGCGTTCGATGGCATAATCGCATGAGTAATTCTGAGGTTCGGCGGCGTGTGTTTGAACACAGTGGAGATCACCATTCACTGAGTGTCGTCATCTGGAAACACCGGCTCCGGTGGCTTGGACATGTGCTGCGAATGTCATCCCAGAGGCTTCCGTACAGGTCTCTGTTCGCTAGCCAGCCCTGGGATTGGATGGAAAAGGCGGAAGGGTGGTCAGTCCATGACGTGGCGTCGTGGAATGAAGGATTTTTGTGCTAGATTAGCATCGGTTGGTGTGTCACGACTCCCCGGTTGGGGTCCGAGAGATAGCTCAAATCGGTGGCTCGAAACGTCATCGGATATATGGCCAAGAATCGTAATCAATGGCGAACGTGTTGCAATTTCCTTCTTTCTTCCCTTCCTGATGATAGTTAACGAATACTGTTTGAACTTGTTAAGCATGACTGTCTTCCTTCCAGATAAAGTTCTTTATCCGTTCTCTACTTATACTTTTTTTCTTTTCCTTCTTTTTTCCTTTTGATCTATATTGTTTTATTATTATTGTGTGGCGCATCCTTCTTGGTGCCATAATATTGTACCAAGTTTTTATGCGATTAAATAAATAAAATAAATAAAGGATAGTGTTGTGTATACAGCGAATTCGCAGAGTCTGATAAGAGAATATGCACACAAAATCTTTCTTAAGTTAGCTCAGGACAGATTGAACTGGGCGTACAATAATGAAGAACAGGTAGAATAAGAGAATTAACATATTAATTATTAAAAAGACGGTTGCAGCGAAGAAAATTTTCTTTTCTATGAAGTCATCAACTAGGCTGTACATTCGTGTATTGGGTAGGAAAGTTCCATAATTAACAAAGTGTAAAAGTAGGTAGGGATTGAATGATACCAGATTGTTTTGTCATCCTTACGTAGAATATTAAACGAAATATCTTCCTCCCCATTTCTATCTTTCTGCTTATTAATGTAGTCAATTGATAGGTGGTGTCTAGCAGTGGAATCCGGGATGCGCATTTCGTCCTATATGAGACTCGTCATTTCCAATTGAGTGATGTTCCCACCGAGGCTCGAACCCGGTGCCTTATAGTTTCAAACGCCAAAGCGTTATCCACTGGACCACTTGGGCCACGAGAGCTACCTCTTGTGCAACGGGTCGAAGCATCTGCAGAAGAAGTCGACATGTTAACCTGAGACCGAGCACTTTGGTCCAATCAATCGATAAAAGGATCTAAAATTGAATTAAATATTATTCTAGTCCTTTTTGACATCCCCCTTTTCCTCTCTTTCATCTACCACTTATTTTGCTACATGGATTTTGGCGAGTTGAACAGTTCTGTAGAAAGTTCTATGTTGAAATCAATCAGTTAGTCAATCCCTCAGACAATTTTTGTTATCTGTATTTTATAGAAGTGTTTTTCACACTGACAACTAATCATATTTCTTTTGGTGTATTTTCTCTAACTTTTATTTTAGTCCAATAACGTTGAGTCATCAACACCATTCGTTGATGAACAATTCCTTCACTGGGAATTAGATACAGCCGAATGGAGAGAAGTTGTACCACAGATGTCTACAACGCATAACAACAGTGATTCCAATCTACTTCGTATCTATGAGAATACTTTACACGTATTAGGAAGTCCTCCAGCACCACAAACTATCACTCCAGTATCGAATACCAGAGTTAATTCATCACGAAGAAGGTTACAGAACAATAGTATTAATAGTAATAATAATAATAACAATAATAATGGTATTGACTCCAATAATAATAATAATAGCAACAACAGAATATTAGATCCATCTGATGGCAACATTAGTAATGTTCGTTATACACCTCCACCTTGTGTTCTATACGAGATTATACATGCTCCAAGCGGTGTACCATTTCATCGATTACCACCAGGTTATTTAACAAATTTCAGAGGATTTCCATATCCATCTAGACGTCAAAAACAAATACCAGGTCGTAGTCATTTAGTAGAACCTCTGGATTTATTGCCATCAGTAACATTGGATGAAGAAAGTGAGTTGTTGTCACTGTTGTTGTTGTTGTTTATTGAGTGATAAGCATAATTTAAGTAGTATCTGTCATTTTGAAGCTTTTATTGTAGGAGTTTTCCTACTTGTGGGGTGGTGGGAGGCATAAGTGGACGTATAAAGAAGGTATTCTTAAAGTACTCTCAATTTTGAATTGGCTGAATTTACGCTATATATCTAACGCTGAAACAATTCTGTGTATAGTGTTGTAGAGTGCATACGTGATACCCATATATTATCTGCTTCTAAATGCTGTACTAGTTTCCCCTATGTCTAATTCTCCTGTTCTGGTATCAAACATAAGAAAATCTGTATGTGTGTTTTGCATAGGTTAACCTTAAATAATCTAACCGCTTATTGCAGCTGTGTTGGTGAATCCTGTTCAGCGATTTAAATCAGAAAATCCTCATGAAGTCTAAACCATTAAAACCGCCCACACTTTTTACTTCCGAAAGACTTCTACTTGACTTTACAATTTAATGGAGACTCATCATCGGCAGAAATACCGAGAAACCAAACCACCTATCTCACTCATCAGAAGAAAACATTCTTCAACACAGTAGGTCTATCCTTACACCTTACATCTAATCTGGACACCAAGTTAACACCCATAAAGTAACTTCAAAGACATCTACAGAATACGTGGGAATCTTGTTAAAAGAATATGAATCATACCTCTTCAAGCCACGGAAGCAATGGTAATTAATCACATGTTAGAGTTCCGGTACTCTACATACAAAAAGAGGTTGTTCAGTCATCGAATTTACATTGGATGTGATCTGTTTGTCTTAACACTGGAAAAGTAACTCTTGTGTTTTTTTTGTTGTTGTTGAATTGTATTATTTTTTCCCCTCATCCCAACTATTAAGTTCCTACCCCTTATCACTACTGTTATTAACTTGACGTCTCTCGTTCAATTTCAGTTGAATTCTACTCAGTCTTGTCAATTATTTATATAAGATAGTTGGAGGCAATTGGTCATAGAAAGCCTTGGACTTAGGTTTTGTGCTATTTGGCACTCGTCAGCACTTATTTGGGAAGTACCATCAGCCCCAACGGGCTGATCTCTAACGAAATCTCAGCACCGATACAGAAGGCTAGTTTCGCATATGCCTGTCAGTTTACGCCGTCTCTGGAGTAGACATGATATCCGACTAATGACCGAAGGGCGGGTGTACTGCTCATCAGTCCGCTCCGTCCTCCTTTATGGTCAGCTGTGAGACCTGGCCATTGAGAGTGGAAGACATGAAAAGCCTGGTTAGCTGTCTTTGATCAAAGGTGCCTGCGTTCTATCTCCCGTGTGAAGTGGTACGTGTAATAAGGTGAGCAATATTGAGGTTAGGCGTGGAGTGCTAGGTAAAGAGGGGAAATCAATCGACGAGGCTGTGAAATTACATCGACTGAGATGGTTAGAACATGTGTTACATATGCATACCTAGTCATCGCCTTCCTCAACGAGGAATGTTAGCGGATATATGGCCAGGCTGTAAAAGAGGTAGCGGTGGTCAAACAAAAACTTGCCACCAGTCGATGAAATCTACAACTGTTAGTCTAAGCCAGCCACGTAGGAAGGTGTAGACTTCCTGGTTGGGGTCCTCAGGGTGATAAAAACAATGGTTGGAAACAATTGGTGACAAGGCCCAAAATCGTTCTCAATGGCTGGCGCAGATGCATCCACTCCTTGTGACTTATGATTCCAATGAAACTGTTTTGTTCTTCGTTACTACTATTCCTTTGTCTCACACCTCTGTTTACTGTCTCTATTATGCATTTCTTCTACTTTGTTCTCTTGGTTTGTGTGCCACAAGGCGGGAGTGTGGCGACTTGAACTTCCGCATATATGTTCAAAGTTCTATGTTGAAAACACACAGACAGACAGACTCGTCAGCAAGGCATATATGGAACCTTGAAGAAACTTGTGACTCTTCTCAGATTTGAACCCGCATCACATATTGCTGCAGTCAGAGACGTTACCACTGGGCTTTTCGGCCTCGCGATTGACCTCCTATAGGATACTCGTTAGTAACTAGTGTAATGTATCTAGTCCTAGATAGAATTCAGTCTGCATCAAACAGAGGACTAGATACGTTACAGTGGTTACTAACTAGTTTTCAATCAAAAGTATTTATCAATTATATTACGTCACTTAACTTATTTAATTCTGGTTTCTACCAGAATAAGGCTTTCTACATTACGTAATTTGTGATATGAAAAGTTGACATATATAATAGCACTTCTTTGGAAATACTCCTCCTTTCTGAGATAATTTCCTCTCTCTCTCTCCCTCTATATATAAATGCAATTGTTAGAGCTCAAGAATGTTATCTCTAAAAGGAGAAACTATTCTCTGAACTTCTTTCCTTTGATGTAAAGTTTTTTAAACGGGAGAGGAATTTCCTTCGATTAACCACTGCAACACAGATTCGGAAGCTACTCCACCTCCTGAGGTTTGGTCAGTCAGTCAGTCAGTATTACTAGTCTTCAAAGTAGGTGTATGACCCCTTTGCAAACTGTATAGAAGAATACTGGTGGTTGTCGCGAAGTAAACACATCTAATGAGGATTTACGCCGAATAAAATAAACAACCATAATTCACGTAAATACATCCGAAAAATAGTTAATTTGACATAAGATGCTTAAGAGAAATGACATAGATACCCCAGTGACTACTTGAATGAGGTATTGATTAGCTGGTCGTAACTAAAATGCAGTCACTTGCATAGAACATCACTTTCTTTGAGGTATTTGGCGCTTGTAGTCTTTCTGTAAAGGTGTCTAACTTTCTTAGTGCTCGGAAGCTTAGAATCTTGTAATGGTAATTCGAGTTAATGTGTTTCGCTTTGTTTTGATTTGATGAATAAAGAAAGAACGGACATACTTGCAGGATGATAGGTGTCTGCATTCTGTCTACCATGTTAGTTGGTGTATTAATAGGTTGAGTAATAATGAGGTTAGGCGTTGGGTGTGTTAGGTAAGGAGGGGGAATCAGTCGATGAGGTTGTGAAGCTACATCGATTGAGATGGTTAGGTTATTTGTTACGCATGCCTAGCCATCGATCACCTTTATCGATGGGAAATGTTAGCTTACATAGGATCGATCATGTTGGAGAAGAGCTAGTTAGTGTTAGTCAAACCAAAACATGGCTTCATTAATCAATGTGAGTCAATCATGTAGGGAGGTATAGACTACCAGTCTGGTTGGGGTTTTCACGATGGTAAAGACCAATGAAGACTGGAGACAGTCGGTGATATGGCTCAAAATTCTTCTCAATGGCTGATGGAGATGCATTCATTCTTTGTCAGGTACAGTAAAAATTTTTGCTTCCATATTAACACTGTTCTTCTCCCCTCACTCATACTTCTGCTTATTACTTCTCGTTTGAGTCTGTCTTTACTGTCTTTTTATTTTGTGTGCTACAAGGAGAGAGAGAGAGTGTGTGGCAAGTTGAATTGGTGCACATCTATGCAAAGTTTTATGTTGAAGCCCCCGCCCACCAGCAGGATAAAACGAGCTTGTCCTCTTCGACTGAGTAAATCCTAGACAAAATCGAATTATAAGTTATAGAATTTCTGAATCAGTAGGAACGGGAAATTGCAGATTTCCAACTGTATGTATTGGCGCTAAGAATGAGTGTTAGAAAAGACAAGTACTTTAAATATGACGTAATGGGACACTGGTGGAAACACTCCCAAGAACGACTGAAAAAGAAAAACCTCAAACAATACAAAGTAATGTAACACTCAGTCAACATCTCTGTTTGTTCATGTTATTTCTTAATCGTGAATTGTAAAGTTATTTATTGAGGACTTGGGTGTTTAGTCAATCAGAGTGCATGGGTTTCGAAGTCTAGTGATTATTATAATTGATACAATCATAAAACTGTGTCATCCAATAAATAATACTGTTTCACATGTGTGATATATCTAATATTGCATGAAGGATTTCATCATGAGCTGACATCAGTTAGAGAACCTCTGGAAAACCTGAAAATACTGGACAGTTGTTTCGTCCTAGTTTGGGACTCTTCAGCGGTACGCACTCACCGGGGTTCGAATCCAGGACCTTCTACAAGGTGAGCTCGTAGACCATTGATTCACTGGGACCCGATCCAATGGGCCTTGAATTCTAACCCCGGTGAGTCCGCACTGATAAAGAGTCTCGAACCAGGACGAAACAGCTATCTAGTACTTCCCAGATTTTCCAGTGGTTCTCTAATTGATATCAGCTCATGATGAAATTTTCCATGCAATCAAACAAAATCCTTACAAAACCAATACATAAAAATATATCTAATAAAAGAACTAATCGGGTATTTCGTTTCAACCTTAACTTCTTTCATAAATTATCGAAGTGGGAATTCTGAACATTGTTTACATAAACTTGTTTCTCTGTTAACAAAAATCGTGTTGATTCTTGGGAGTATGACAAAATTCTATGTACGGTTACATATAATCCACTTTTCAGGTTATAAAACAGCTGAAGAGAGTCGGAAGACGAAATAAAAGTAAACAATGGCCTCATATTATTAGTTTCATTTTTCCTTTGTTTAAATTCATAAAGGGGCATAAATGTATGAAGTTAATGAACACTTATTTGAATTGTTTCAACTAAGCTGAATAAGAACTCCCTCCTCTCATTACTCTATTTTGTATATATATTTTTTCTATTTTCACTATTTCACTTCTTCTTCTTCAGCTGATGAAGATATCGTTGTGGATGATATTCAATTTTGTTCAAATATTCCACCAGATTATTGTCCATTACCACAATTATCAAATAATGAACCAGTACATGGTAAAACGTATTTATGGTGTTCACCATGGTTAACTAATCAAACACCCTTAATAGAATCATTTGAAGGAGAAGAATTGAAGTATGCGATTCCTTTTTTACATCATAGGTTTATGACTTAGTTTCTTTTTATGTGTTGTGGAGGCGTGTGTACTGCTCAGCAGTTCTATCTATCCTCCTTATAATGGCTGTGAGTGAAACCTGGCCATTAAGAGTAGAAGACATGAAAAGGCTAGCTGTCCCTGATGATAGGTGTCTTCGTTCTATCTCCTGTGTCAAGTGATATAATAAGGCGAGCAATATTGAGGTTAGGCATCGGTTGAGTTTTGGTGCAAAGAGGTTCATCGTGCTGAAGATTCTGTAGCAATATTGTTTACAGGATATGCAAGTGAAAAGCAACAAGTTGGCAGAAGAAGCATTAAAGATAGGACTTCAAGTGAACATAGATAAAACAGAGGTGACGAAGATTCCTCGCCAACATCAACAGCAACAACAACAACAGACAACAATCAGCATAAATGGGAGGAACCTGAAAAAAACAACCTCCTTTACCTACCTGGGAAGTATCGTTTCAACTACAGGCGGAACTGACGAGGATATCAAAGACAGAATGGGAAAAGCAAGGCAGGCTTTCATTTCTCTTAAGTCTGTGTGGAAGTCAACAGCACTCAGAATCAAAAATAAGATGTGGATTTTCAACTCAAATGTGAAGTCAGTGCTACTATACGGATCAGAGACTTGGTCAGCGCGTCATAAAGAGCATCTCAAACAAACTACAGACCTTCATTAACAGTTGTCTTCGCTCAATACTCAAGATCAGATGGCCAGAAAAGATCAGCAACAAAGATCTCTGGGAGCGAACCAACCAGGAACCGATTGTGAAACAAATATGAAGGAAGAAATGGAGATGGATTGGTCACACCCTGAGGAAACCATCAAGTGACATCACTAGACAAGCCATTGCTCGAATGGAACCCGAAGGGGAGGCGGCGAGTTGGTCGTCCAAAGGTGACTTGGAGGAGGTCATGCGAGGAGGAGATGAAAGCATGTGGGCAGACTTTGAGCGGGGTGAAAAAGTTAGCAGAAAACCGAAGGCAATGGAGGTGCGCAGCTGAAGCCCTATTTTCCTCTAGGAACTAAAGGATATAATAATAATAAATAATAATCGGTTGAGTGGTAGGTAAAGAGGGGAAATGAATTCACAAGGCTCTGAAATTACATCTGTTGAGATAATTAAGACATGTGTTACGTATGCTGTATACTTAGCCATCGCCTTCCTCGACTGACGGGCAATGTTAGCTTACGTAGAATAGATCAGGTTGGAAAAGAGTACGCTAGTGGTGGTCAAACGAAAACATGGCTTCACTGGCCAATGAAATCCATAACGGTTCGTTTAAGCCAGCCACGTAGACTTTCAGACTGACTAGTTGGGGTCTTCGAGATGGTAAGAACCAATGAAGGCTGGAGACAATTGGTGATATTGCTGAAAATCATCGTTCTCAATGGTTGGCGCAGATCCATCCACTTCTTGTGACTTATCCAATAAAACTATATCGTTCTGCGATATTTTTATTCTTTTTGCATCATATCTCTGTTTATTATCTCCATTTGTTTTGAATCTCTGTGAACTTTTTTCTCTTGGTTTGTGTGCCACATGGAGGGAGGAAGAATGGTAACTCGAACTACTGCACATTCGTGCCAAGTTCTACGTTGAAAGCAGTCAAACAGTCAGTCATATGTTTCCAGGGAAAGCCTTTTAGCTTACTTAATACTTAATCCTGAAAGGTTTGTGGTTCTTATCCACTTTGCCGGAGCTGGTGGACTTCGGTTGAAGTGAACTCCGCCCTCTGAAAAATGCTGGATTCAGGAAAGGCAAATTAAATGCTGATCGAATTGAAACTCTACGCATCAATATATTCATGGAAGAAAGCAAAGAGCGTCAGTTAAATCTCTACTTCAACTTCATCGACTTTGAATAGAGCGAAAGCACTGAACCGCGAAGTGATTTGGAAACTACTTCAATACTATGGAATGCAGTGCTCACATCTTTATTAACCTCATTCACCAGCTATATGATAATGCCACGTGTAAATATATCCACAACAGAAAACTCAGTGATGCATTTGAAGGGAATGTAGGAGTAAGACTAGACTGTTTGGCTTCTATCAACGATGATATTCCCAATTATGGTGGACTGGATTGTGCAGCGAGAAAACACAGGAATACGTCGGATCGATAAGGAAACTCTAGAAGGTGTGGGCTTTCCGGATGATTTATGTTTAGTGTCTGTTCAACTCTAGGGAAGTCTTCGTGTGGTTTTGGAAGTGTGTGGGTGGTCGTTACTTCCCGGCTGCCCACACCGTGAAAGTTGATTAATTCTTCGGGTACCTGAAACAAAAAGAGGGTTAGTGTTGCATGACCGCAGAGCCCACGGGACAACTGCTTGAGGCCGGTCACACACGGCCTGTATGAACTGGTTTCTGGGATTGGTTACGTATTAGTAAACTTACCACCGGTTACGGACCACCGTAGGGTAAGTCGGGATGTACAATTGTTGAGGTTGACCTTTTCTCCCTTCTCTCTCTAGAGTGGAGAGACAACATAGCTGGATGGCATGATGGTCATCTGGGGGAAACACCTCACTGCTGTTACACCCATGTTCCCCAGCAGTGTGACTTAGCCCTCAGACTCCCACCATAGTATAAGAAAGATTCTTACACGATGCTGGTAGCTGCTTTTAGTCTAATCGCTTCCTTTCATGGTAGGACCTGCAGGAACATTCGTTCCAGCCAGTGTAGCTTGTAGGGTCATCGCAATGTGCAAGCCCGACCACCACGCCAAGGTAGCAGCAATCGATCGGTTGGAAACAATTGGTGATATGACTCAAGATCATTCTCAATGGTTGGCGCAGATGCATCCACTCCTTGTGACTTATGATTTCCAATGAAACTGTTTCGTTCTTCGTTACTACTATTCCTTTGTCTCACTCCTCTGTTTACTATCTCTATTATGCAATTCTTGTACTTTCTTCTCTTGGTTTGCGTGCTACATGGGGTGTGGCGACTTGAACTTCCGCATATATGTTCAAAGTTCTATGTCGAAAATAGATAGACAGACAGACATTAAATATTGAATTGAATTTTTGATTTTCCCGTCGATTGATTGGACCGAAGTGCTCGGTCTCAGGTTGACATGTCGGCTTCTTGTTCAGATGCTTCGACGATGTCTGGGTATTTAATTAGTATACAGTTGGTGGATGGTGGCCAGCAGTGGAATCCAGGATGTGCATTTCGTCCTATTTGGGACTCGTCATCTGGATGTACCTGCATTTCTCAGTGAGTGATGGTGTTCCCACTGAGGCTCGAACCCAGTTCCCATAGTTTCAAACGCCAAAGCGTTATCCACTAGACCACTTGGGCCACGAGAGCCGCCTCTTTTTCAACGGGTCATATTAATTCAATAATTAATATGATCCGTTGCAATTGTAGACAGACATTAAACTCTTGGACTTACATGCGGAAGACAGCAAGTTGGTAAAAAAGACTGTCAAGAAGAACAGGACTTCAAGAGAACACAGAGAAGACACTGATGAAGACATTGAGTCAACAATAATAAGCACCAAGTTACCATCAACAGGAGAAATTTGAAAGAGGTCACTTCCGTCATTTATCTGGGAAGCATCATTTCAACTGCGGGCAGTTAGTACGGATGAGGATCTCAAAGCAAGCCATTCAGTTTCAAGCCATTCACTCAGAATGAACAACTAAATTCTGATTTTCAACACCAAATGTTAAGTTGAACAGTTCTTCTCTATATGGGTCAGAAACTTAGCCATTGCGTCACGACACGCATTTCTAACAGACCACTGCAGAAGTTTTTCAACAACTGGTTTCGCTTTCGATTGAAGATTAGACAACTAAAAAGATTTAGCATCAAGAAACTGAGTGAATAAACCAGCCAAAAACCTATTGCTCAACAAGTAAACCAGAGGAAGTGGAGATAAATCAGACAGTAGCTGACGCGACTGTTTAGTGATCTCGCACACCAAGTCATGGCTCGAGTGGAACCCGAATAGGAAATGGCTAGTCGGACGTCGGTCTGAAGTTGTCATGTAGAAGGTGGTCGTATAGGGAGGAAATGAGAGCATATGGGCAGTCTTGGATCCAGCGGAAGAGGAATGCCGATAATAGGACAGAGTGGACATGGGCAGTTGAAGCCCATATGCTCCAATCGTATCCCAAGAGAACAATAATATTACTGTTATCAGTCGTAGACTGAACCAAAATCCTAAAGCACTTGACATTTATCGCCAATCTGATTCGGTGACTTTTATTATTTCGTATATAGTACCGTCTTATTCAGCAAGTTTTCATGGATTGTGGATTACTTGTGTTGTTCAGGTAGAGGGATTCCAGCAAACAAAAACAGTTATAAGAGATGACTGAGCATTGTCCAACCAATTCCCCATACATAGTAAAGTGGATATCTATATTAGCAGCTGATTGTCGGATTACAGCATACTTACTATATCTGCTGTTGTTTATTTCCCAATTATTTAGTTTAAAAATTGCTGAACAAAATCGGAAATATGAAGAGGAGAGAAATTTCTTTTGTGCTGGCGGTGAACCTGTTGTATCTTTTGGCGATGATGTAAGTGAGATATTTGTAAAAATATTTTAAATAATTTTATAAAATAAAATAGAATGCATAAATTGATAGATAAAGTCTGTTTTGCTCGCTCTACTGGTATAATTCTTTCATTTCTTCGCAAAATCCCAGATTCTAACCACCTTCAACCGTCGGCGCTAAGAAAGACAAAATATCAAGAGACAAATCCTTCCCCGCATCGAAACTTGTCGCCTTTGTAATTTGGCGTGTTTAAGCTTGTGACGACCCATAGCTGAACTTGCTTAAATGTGTCGTTTTCGTTAGTTACGCTATTCTCAGATTATTTCTCTATAAATACTGTAATTGCATTCTGTGTAAAAATTATTGGCTACATTAAAACGATTATGTTTAGGTTATAATTAGGCTACAAAAAATCACCGATTCATTGAAGTGTTTCCATAAACCTCCTTTACCTACCTGGGCAGCATCGTTTCAACTACAGGCCGACGGAACTGACGAGGATATCAAAGCAAGAATAGGAGAAGCAAGACAAGCTTTCATTTCTCTTAAGTCTGTGTGGAGGTCAACAGAATTCAGAATCAAAAATAAGATGTGGATTTTCAACTCAAATGTGAAGTCAGTGCTACTCAACATACTGATCGGAGACTTGGCCAGCGCGTCATAAAGTGCATCTCAAACAAACTTCAGACCTTCATTAACAATTGTCTTCGCTCATTATTACTCAAGATCAGATGTCCGGCCAGAAAAGATCAGAAACAGGGATTCCTGGCAATGAGCGAACCAACCAGGAACCGATTGTGAAACAAATATGAAGGAAGAAATGGAGATGGATTGGCCATACTCTGAGGAAACTAATCATCAAGTGACATCACACAATAGACCATCGCTCGAGTGGAACCCGGACCGGAAGCGGCGAGTTGGTCGTCAATGCAAGGGTGAATTAGAGGAGGTGATGTGAAGAGGAGGTGAAAGCGTGTGGGCAGACTTGGAGTGGGGTGAAAAAGTTGGCAGAAAACCGAAGGCGATGGAAACGTGCGGCTGAAGCCCTATTTTCCTCTAGGAATTAAAGGATATAATAATAATATATATCAAGAAATACAAACGTAACAAAATTATGTGTTTCATCTCTTTGTCGGTTCACATAATGTGATATCTTGCGTCTGCTGTTTGGGTTCGCTGGAGGATGGGAAACAGGTGCATAAAACCTACATTATTAGAGTTCTAAGAGTACAGCTTTTAGATAATTTATGTTAGATGGTCTGAAGTAATTGAGAGGGATTCATGGACTTAGGTGTCATGCTTTCTGACACTTACCAGTCAGCAAGGTGTATCTGCAACCTTGAAGGAACTCATGTCCCTTCTGAGATTTGAACCTGCGTCACCCAGTGCTGCAGTCAGAGACGTTACCACTGAGCTATTTAGGCTCCCGATTGACCTTATAGGACTGTATGGGATATTTTTGATTGCATACTAGTCATTAACTAGTGTAGTGTGTCTAGTCCTATCTTCACTGCAGACTGAATTCTATCAGTCAAGCTAGCAATATGGCTATCATTCTAGGCGGCTTACCACCACGGTGCATTGTGAAGTGTTGATAATAGATGGTTGGAGGCAATCGGCAGGAAGCCCTATGTGACCTAGGTTTTGTGCTAGTTGGCATCCATCATCGAGGCGTGTTTGCAACCTCGAAGGAACTTATGTCCCTTCTGCGATTCGAATCCACGTCACCGAGTGCTGCCTGCAGTCACAGACGTTACCGGTGAGCTATTCGGTTCTACAATTGGCCTCCTATATTAATTGGTTCATTCATTCAAATTTATCTCCTGTACACTGAGTGAGCAATTTAAAGTCATAAGATGTCTAATGAAGTAATTCAATAAAATTAAAATTATGCATAACTTGATTTTGAATCCATCCTTTTCACATACGGATGTCTTTTTTGTTTTATTACTTTTGTTAGTTTACTGCTTCCAAGAATTCAACTGAACAAATAATTATTATGCAACCTGAAGGGAATTGTTTCCACCGATCCCAGATATCATCATCACAGAAATTACTTTCTCCAACTTCTTCTAAAACATCACAGCCAAAAATCAATAATACGCCAAATTCTTGTGATATACTAAAACATGAAATATCTGATGATGAAAAGCAATTGGCAGATGAAAATGTATCAAATGTGACAACCACCATCATCACAAATATCAGTTCAGATCAAATTGTAAGTTGTAATATCGTCATCGTGAAGAATATGGTTAAGGAAATAGATAACGTCAGTATTTTCTGGTTCGTCATTTTTGCATACCTTTTTGTTTTAATGAAAACAAGAAGAATAGAAGTTTAAGTTGCTGCAACCAAAAAGCTGACATCGGTTAGAGAACTCATGAAAAAACCTGTGAGTATTGGACAGCCGTTTCGTCCTAGTTTGGGACTCGTCAGTACGCACCCACCATAGGAGTTTAAACCCTGGTTACAAGGCTAGCGAGCTTGTAGACCATTAAGCCACTGACACTCGATCCGATGGCCCATGAATTTTAACTTTTGCCAATTCATTACATAGAATGACTACTTCGCAATGTCTTCTTCAACGAGTTACTGCCTCACCTTCAAACTGCTGTACCCTACTGTTCACGGCTTCCCAGTAGAATACCCAAGTCACTACTTGAATATAAGGCCAGTCGCTAGTAAGCATCAGATCGATTTTCAAGTATTGGTAATTTGTAGGGATTTTGTTCGATTGGTTGGAGGATTTCATGTAACTGATGTCAGCTCACGATGAAATCCGTCAAACAATCAAACAAAATTCCTTCCAAAAACGAATACTTGAAAATCGATCTGATGCTTACTAGCGACTGGCCTTATATTCAAGTAGTGACTTGGGGTTCTACTGGAAAGCCGTGACCAGTAGGGTGCAGCAGATTGAAGGTGAGGCAGTAACTCGTTGAAGAAGACATTGCGAAGCAGTCATTCTATGTGATGAATTGGCAAAAGTTAAAATTCACGGGCTCGCCGTGTAATCAGAAGGTCCTGGGTTCGAGCCCCGGTGGTGGGTGCGTACCGCGAAGAGTCTCAAACTAGGACGAAACAGCTGGCTGTCCAGTACTCCCTAGTGGGTTTCTCAGTGATTGTGATCAAACCTGTATGCAGAATTTTATTTCAAAATATGGTAGAGAATGGACTTTCTTCGGTCTGTCTGTTGGTGCTTCGTTTACAACTTCATCTAATGTACCATGATTCAAGTAATGTAATAATTTTGTAGACAGAATATGTTTCAGACTCCTCATTTGGTGGGTGTTCACCTTCTAATCGACTCTCGTAACTTTTTCACTTAAAAATTTACTAGTAATTTAAATATACCCGACAAATGTCAACTGAGTTGAGGCTTTATGCCTAAACCAGGGGCTTTAAATTAATTCAACTTCCCGAATACTGAAACAGTGGATCCATTCAATCATTTTTATTTGATACTTCTTACTTACATTTGGTGCGAATAGTTATGCCAAGTCCTCTGACATTCGACAGTCTGAAAGCATGTGAAATTCTCATCTTAGGAGGTTCAGGGGGGGGGTACTGTCTTCGTACTCTGAATCAATTAGGTTTGTTTTCTCAAACAGTGAATTAGTTACTTAAATGTGGGTGGAGTTATTCTATTATTTTGTTGGGCGCTGACTAGTAGTGGAATCCAGGATAACGCGCATTCTTTCCTTTTTAGGACTCATCAGCTGGATGCAACTACATTTCTCAGTAAATGAATGATAGTGTTCCAACTGAGACTCTATCTAATCCAGTAACCATAGTTTCAAATGCAAAAGTTTTATCCACTAAACCACTTTGTGTCACGAAAGCTACCTCTTATGCTAGTCAACATTCACCAGATTTCTTCAAGTTTAATTCTGAAACATCGTGGAAGAATCCTCACAAGGGTCCGACATGTCGACAGAGGCGGTGCACTTCGGTTCAATCAGTCGATGGGAATGTGCGAATTGAATTAAATAGTTACTGATTCTTTTAAAGTAGGCAGAGTTATTCCTTTTTAGAACAGCCGTATATAGGATGGTCACATGAGGTGATAACCTTGCGACACATCTGATTACTTTATGGGTAGTTCTCCGCAAGCAGACACTGGCAAATTATCTTTCGATTGGTGGAGTTGTATATAGTTTTCTTTTCAAGAAATATGACGTCATATTATTATTAAATTCTTTTGCGTTCTCACTAAAATATAAGTCTTCAGGGTTGAGCTCTTAAGTTTCGGTAGCTGTGTTTTTATCTTTTCCGGGTTGAGGTTACTAATCTCACGCCCAAGCTTTCCTTTTTAACGGAATTCTAGCCAGGCGAGATTTAGGAGTTACTTTAATTATTTAAAGCAGAGGCTACATAGACGGTATGAATGTGAGTTATACCATTCTCATATCTCGCTTTGAATGACTGTGGATGGTTTTCTATAGTCTTGCTGAACTTGCAGAGGCTATTCACATGCCGAATTGGTTAGCTAGGTCAACGATTTCATTTAATTTGGTGAATGTTGGGGCCTGTGTCTCAATAGCGTTGCTATGCCTGCTAACCTTGACAATAATAAAGCGTTTGACTGGTCTTGTATGCGAGATGTGCTCTATCAGGCCTGTCTATGCAGTGCATTACTGATTGATCCGATCATTGATAGGTGTAACTAGGCTTACGTATGTATTATTATTGTGTACCAGCGGTGCGGATGGTCGACCAAGGGACAGGCCTTTAAAGTGTCTGCGTCACAGGATGATACTGCATGCTAGTCTTGTCTCAAACGAATCAGGGATAGGTATGTTCTGTTCTCCTGGAAACAGATATATAAATGCCCAGTCAATGGGTGTATCATCACGTGAATAAACTGGTTGATCCTTCCAGTAGTTTGTCTCAGAGATTGGGGTATGCATATCTAGGTATTTGCCTTGAAACTGACTGCTAACCAAATCGGTAGACAGTAATTTACGTCAGTGTTCACGTCCCCAATATTAGTCGTGAGAAAAATAAGAACAAAAATTAATTCAACGACCAATCACAGCAGACTTTGCATAGGCGGATACAGTTTGCAGATATATAATCTGAACTTCACTAAACGGCCACAAAGAGATGAAGGACTAACGTTCAGCGAGAAACCACCAATCAGAAGACTGTTTTTGTTTGTTAAGAAGACAATTGCAGCGAAGAAAATTTTCTTTTCGACGAAATCATAATCTAGGCTGTACATTGGTGTATTTATATCAAATAGATGGGATAGTTCCAGAATAATTTCCGTTTAAGGGTCAAATTAATAAAAATTAAAATTAGGGATTAGAATGCCATAATAAACAGGGGGGGGGTGAGTGGATAAAACAAACAAAGTAGCATCATAATAACTAAGAAGATTGACATTGTGCAGTTAGGGGTTAGAAATGTAGAAATAACAAAACAGACAGGGTGTTTGGACAAAAAACTAATGTAATGGATAATTGCTTATGCAATCAGGGATTAAATATGTATGTGTGCTACATGGAGTTTGGCGACTTGAATTGCCGCACATATGTGCAGAGTTTCATGTCGAAAACAGACAGACAAACAGAAATATGTAGAAATAGTAAAATGACAAAATAAACACGAAGTTCGGGTATGAAAATATGGTAGTGTAAACAGGGATTAAGAAAAACTTATAATAACATGAATAAACAGGACGTTTAGATAAAAAAGGCGATGGGATGGTCATTACTAAAAAATTACCTGTTTATGATGGCCATGGCAGGGACAGCGGTTGGATGTCTTTCTTTTGGATACAAAGCGTGGGTTTGAGCTTTTGGATAGCTAGCGCCTCGGCTATGCCCAGATGTCTTGATTTCACTCCCCTTGACAGGTTTGGTTGAATCTTGTATATTACTTTGAAGGATTTTTCAAAAGGCGCCGAATGTCCTGAATTGACTAGATGTTCTGTCGCTGAACTGTATACACGCTTTTGGTCTCCTTTTACTAACCAGGCTGGGTAGTGTTCACGAGTGCGTTTTTCAAGTCGGCGCATGGTACAATGGTAAAATGCTTACAGTAATCTTAATAATGTACATGAAAATCTGTATCTGTTTGATTTCCTAAATAAACGATCTGTCGCCTGACCCTTGTCTTCTGTCGCTACAGTACTACATGTATAGCAATCCTAGAGCTGTTACATACAATTATGTAAAACCCTCAGCGAAACTGGTACATTCATTACCGATTTAGGGGGGCGTCAACTAGGGATAAAACCCCGAACTGCACATGTGTGATTGACGAATTTTCTACTGTAACAACAGAAGACAAGGGCCAGGCAACAGATCGTTTATTAATGAAATCAACACGTATTTATATATTTTCATGTACATTGTTATAGCTCATTCAAGCAAACAAACACAGTCTTCTGATTGGTTGTTTCTCACAGAAACTTGACCCTGCATCTCTTTGTGACTGTTTTTGAATGTTAGGTCATCTATATGCTAACTGTATCTGCCTACGCCAAGTCTGCTATGATTGTTTGTTGAATCAGTCTTGTTCATATTTTATCACGAACAATATTTGCAACACAAACATTGACGTAAATAATTGTCTACCAATTTGGCTAACAGTCTGCTCTCACCACACTACTACTGAGCCACCGATGCAAAGAAACATGTTTCCTTATTGGTGTGTGTGTGGATAGAGCTAAAAGCACACATTGATCCAGTATTAAATACTGATGACGTTTTGAGCACAATATAATATAACTCATAATCATATTATTTTTTATTTCAAAACTTGTCCAGGAATGAAAGTACAATTTGAATTTATCTAACCTGAATATTAGGAGTGTATTTTAATTCCACTCTCTCTGTTTTAAGACTCCATAATTCACCCGCTTACTGGCTTGTAGTATTGTGTGTCCGTGAAAGGATACCTTTATTATTATTATTGCTCCCTTGGGTTCCTAGTGGAACATAGGGCTTCAACTGCACGTCTCCATTTGCTTCTGTCTTCTGCTGTACTTTTCGCCTGCATCCATGTTAGTCCATATTCTTTCAACTCCTCTTCACACGATCTCCTCCATGACACCCTTGCACTCACGTCCCACACGCCGCTTCCCTTTCGGGTTCCACTCGAGAAATGGCCTGACGCGCGCGCGATGTCACCCAGCGGTCTCCTCAGCCACGAGTGTCCAAACCATCCATCTCTACTTTCTCCTGCGTATTTGTTGGGCAATCGATTCTTGCTTTGTTTGTTTGTTCCCATAGTTTCTTGTTGGCGATTCTCTCCTGCCCGGCCGTCTGATCTTCGGTATAGATCCGGCGAAGACAGTTAGTTGTTGATAAAGGTCTGCAATAGGCTGTTGGAAATATTCTTTGTGACCCGCCCGCCAAGTTTCTCATCCGTATAGAAGAACTGACTGACTTGACGTTGTTTGTATTGAAAATCCGACCGAATTTTGTTGTTGTTGATGATGAGTGACGAAGATTTCCAGATTGGTTTCAGGTTGATGAATGTGTTTCTCGCACCACCCGATTCTCGCTCGATTTGACATCCTCGTCCGTTCCGACTTCCTGTAGTTGAGACAATGCTCGCTAGATAAGTGAGTGAATGAAATAACCTCTTTCAAATCCCTCCTGTTGATGGTGATTGACGTTGGATGTTGTTGGTTATGTTCATCACCTCCGTCTTGTCTATGTTTACCTGGAGTGCTGTCTTCGCCGACTGCCTCTTCGACCAGTTTGTCGGTTTTCGCTTGTAAGTCTTCGATTGTGTGTGACATCAAACATAAATCATCCATGCGCGAAATCCAGGTCTTCTAGGTTCTTCACGTCGGTCCAGGATATTCCTGTCTTCTCGTTTCCCACTGTCTGACGCATAATCCAGTCACCACCACAATTAGGAATATCATTGGTGATAATAAGCAGCCTTGTCTGACTCCTGTGTTTACTCCAAACGCCTTGCTGAGTTTTCCGTTGTGGATCACTTGACATGTGCCGTTGTCGTACAGCTGTTGAATAAGGTTGATGAATATTTGGGGTACGCCATAGTACTCGAGTAATTTCCAAATTACTTCGCGATCAACGCTGTCGAAGGCCTTCTCAAAGTCTATAAAGTTGAGGTAGAGGTTTGATCGCCATTCCATGCTTTGTTCTGTGATGATGATGCGTAGAGTTGCAATTTGGTCAGTACATGATTGCCTGACTTTCCTGAATCCAGCTTGTTCTGGTCGGAGTTCTGTCTCCAGTGCGTCCTTTAATCTCTCCAGGATGATGCGACTCAGGATTTTACTTGGCGTCGATAGGAGCATGATTCCTCGCCAGTTCTTGCAGAGTAGGGCGTAAGTCTCCCTTCTTTGGTAGTTTCACGAGGTAACCTTTCCTCCAGTCAGTAGGCACCTTTCCCTCCTTCCAGACCTTTTGCAATAATGGAGTCAGCATGTCTGCTGTAGTCTCTGGGTTCGCTTTCAGTGCTTCAGGGGGTATTCCATCTGGTCCGGCTGCTTTTCCAGCTTTCAGAAGCTTGATTGCGTTCAAGACTTCAGCTCTCGTTGGAGGATTGGTGTCAACTTGCAGTTTTGTGCGCGCTGTTGTTGGTATTTCTGGACGGGTTGCAGGTGATGGTCGGTTCAAGAGTCCTTTGAAGTGATCCGCCCATTGTTTAATCTGTTTTTCTTCCTTGGTAATTGGGTTCCCTTGGCTGTCTTTTATAGGTTTCGCTTGTGTTGATCTCTTCCCGGATAGAGATTTGGTTATCTGATATAGTGTCCTCAGGTCCCTTTTGCCTGCTGCCTTTTCAGCTTCAGTGTCGAGGTTGTCGTAGAATCGTCTTTTGTCCTTCCTAGCACTTTTCTTCACTTCTTTGTCCAGTGCTGTGTAAGTTGAGCTCATCGTCTCTTTCTCCTGTCCGTCCTTGCATTGAATCATTTTCTCTTTCACCATTCTCCTCTCTTCTATTAATTTCCAAGTGTCCGTTGAGAGCCATTCCTTGTCTTGTCTCTTCTTTCTTCCTAGAACCGTTGAACACGTTTCGTTGAGAATCGCCTTCAGAGACTTCCAATGTTCTTCCACGCATGATTCTTCAGTGATGTCGCGTAGTGTTTCCTGCTTTGCTCTGACAGTTGCAGTGAAGGTGTCTTTTGTGGTTGTGTCCTTCAGTAATTGAGTGTTGAACTTGCATTGTGGCCTATCCCCAGCTATCCTCGAGGCTTTTAGTTTCACCTTGAAAGTCCCTTCTACTAGATAGTGGTCTGAACCCACATCTGCTCCTCTCCTTGACCTTGTGTCTTGAATTGAAATTGAGATGAAGTCTATTTGGTTCTTGGTGTTTCCATCTGGTGAAATCCATGTCGTCTTGTGTATATCCTTGTGTTTGAACACACTACCGCCAATCACCAAATCATTGAAGGCGCAGAAGTCTGAGAAGAGTTCACCATTGTCGTTCATTTCGCCGAGGGCCTCACGACCCATGGTGAGTTCTCTTCCTGTGTTGTCTCCTCCCAGCTTCGCATTCATGTCGCCCATCAGGATTTTGATATCGCCATTTGGGACGTTGTCCATTATTGCTTGTAGTTGTCTGTAGAACGCCTCCTTCTTCTCTTGTTCTGAGACGTTTGTAGGCGCATAGCATTGAATGACTGTAACTTTCCTTCCTTTTGAGTTGAACCTGGCTGTCATTATCCTGGAGGAGATTGGTTCCCACTGCATGAGAGCTTTGGTTGCTGTTGGTGACATCATGATGGCCACTCCCTCGGTGTGCTCATGGTTGTCCTCTGGGTGGCCGGAATAGATTACTGTCTCTCCAGTAGGTAGTTGGCACCTTCCAGTTCCGTTCCATCTGCTTTCGCAGATTCCCAACACTTCTATTCTGTACCTTCTCATTTCAGCGGCTATCTGGGCAGCCTTTCCAGTTTCGTACATTGTACGAACATTCCAGGTACCCATCCTTACTTTTGCTTTCATCGAAAGAAGGCACATCGGCTGACTGGCTTCCCGAAGGCTAGCTTTCACCAGCCTGCGTCATTTCACTTCCCCGATTCCAGCGAAAAGTAAGGCTATTTTTTATGTTTTTAGAATTTTTAATATATTTATTCGTTGAAGTTTCTGTAGCGATTTGGTTGTTTTACAGGGGTGGAGTTGCTAGCACCGCGCCCCAACCCTCCCTCTTTACCCAGGCTTGGGACCGGCTAGAAAACTAGCAAGCTAGTATCTGGCGAGGTTGTGAAAGGATACCTTAGTAGATTCTAATAAATGATGCCAAATGTCAGTATTCCTGCATTGCGACCAGTTGTTATTTTACATTTTCTCACTCTCTTTCTCTCTCTTTAGGATGGTAAAGATTCAGGCTGTACTCTTCGTGTGTCTACTAGGTCTTCAACACTGCTACAAGTTAATCCTAGTCAACCTTCAGTCTGTCTTACAACACCAACAGATGATCAAGATGATGCTGAAGGTCAAGATGATTCTTCTGAAGAATCTGAATGGTCAGCACACATTGATGTTGATATCGGATGGTGGAGAAGACAACGTCGTCGAAGAACTCGACGTCAAGTGGCCATGATGAATGGAGCTGATATATCCGCTTCAAATGATGCTGATCAGATAAATTCTAATGATTTAGATAGCCTAGAAATAGAACTTGATCAAGATGATACCAATATGGAAATGATATTGTATGATGATATTGGTGATGCATCTCTTTCCTCTGGTTATACAGAAACTAATCAAAGTGGATCGAATATGGAAGGGAATGTTCGACGTTCCCTGCGTCAACAACGTCGTCTCCTGTTGAAGAGAAGACTTCTTCGAGAGGCGAAAAAAGCTGAAGCAAGAGCTAAAAAAGCAGAAATTGAAAGAAGATGTTCATCTGCACGTCGTTCTCGTCGATTTCTACGCCTATCTAATGATGATAGTAGTAGAATAGACGAAGATTCTACGAGTCGTGATACATGTATGCCTGAATCGTCTAGTCGTCAATTCGGCAAGTCAGCGGAAGTGACTGAAACTGTAAAGAATGAAGCCCTATTGTCGAGAAGAGAACGTCTTAAACGCCGTCTAGTTCGTAGTGTTGATTACGCTGTCATGGTAAGCATTATTTATCTACTACTAATATTGTGTTCACTTTATGGTGTAAATATCATCGTATAACACTAGTTATTTCCCCATTTAGATATAAATTCTCTTTTCGACGGTTTTATTTCCATACTTGTACAATTGTATGTGTGTTTATGAATTATTATACACAATAACAATCAGTTTTCTTGCGTATGTGTGTTAAAGTTTGATAGTGCGTGGGGGAATACTCAAGTGCGATGAATTTATATATTATTTATTTGAAAGCAGAAAAAAACTTGGTACAATATGGCATCAAGAAAGATGCGCCACACAATGTTGTGTGAGGGCTGAGATACTGCCTGGGCGCCCAAACCGAAGCAGGTGGTTTTCTTAAGGGACCATCCCCCGAGCCTTTGACTTTTAGTCTAATCCCCAAGGCAGCGGAGAAGCGTCAGGAGCTGCATTCCTATGGTTTCCGGTGACCCATATAAGTTCATACGCCATTTGATCCGATTGGATTCTGCAGCCCATGTACCCCATGGCAACTGCTTTAAGTCTAACCGCTATCCAATCAACCTTCCTGACAGGGTAGGACCTGCAGGGACATGAGTCCCACCCAGTTTAGCTTGTTGGGTCACTGCGGTATTCAAGCCTTACCACCACGGCAAGATAGCAGTTGTCAGCCGAGACTCAAGTGCGATGATATTGGTGTATATGGTTATCAGTCACAATTGATTAGACATATGAATGACTTAATAGATAAACAAATTGGCAGGAGTTAGAATGCATGGGGTGGCCATTCAATCAGCTTCCAGTGGCTGATGAATAGTCTACAAGCTCATCTTGTAACCGAGAGGTCCTGGATGCGAAAGTCCTGTGGCCAGTGGTTGCTGATGATGAGTCCCAAACTAGGAGGAAACAGTTAGCTGTTCAGTGCTCCCTGGTGGCTTTCAATGGTTCTCTAACTAACATCAACTCATGGTCATTCCTGTGAATAAAGCCGCTTCAGCCTAAAGTTCAATAGACATGTGTGAAATGAGTATTCGGAAAATGAAGTACATACATTTATGAACACATACCAAAGAACCTGAGACTGAAAGGTCCAAAAGCATTAAACAGTGCGATTGCTGGTCATCTATTGGACACTGGTCATATTGTAGACAACCTGAAGTCGTTCAAAATAATCAACAGGCAAAAGAAACCTAGCTTGCTACACTTTGTTGAAGCTATTGCCATCAAACGACTTAAACCAAATCTATCTACGTAGAAAGAGACAATGGTGAATCTTGAACTGCCATGGTGATAAAAAACAATATACAACTTTCATGAGTCACCCTTTTTCATGTTTAGAAAACTCTACTCTCTCATCTAAACATTGACTTACCCTACCTTGTTTCTTTTCTTTCCTTTTTTTCTGTTGGCTATTAGATAAGACGTTTTCTTTAGTTACGTGATCTACTTTTTTGTTATGCTCTTTCTAGCTAAACCTTGTTTCTATGCACACACACGTATATACGCAACTCTGTTTTCTTGTTTCCATGCCTGATTGTCTAATTATTCTATAAATAGTCAGTGTTTGTAACTCCTAATCAGTTAAATCATTCCGGACTAATGTTACTTTTACTTCCTACCAAGGAATTACTCCTTGTGATCGTGGAAAAGTATGTTCATATCTTTAATGTAATTCATATTTTTTAACGTTCAGGTTGTAACCAGTTGAGAAGAATCCTCGAAATAATAATAAAAGATGAGCCTATATTATCTTGGTACAATTGTTGTTCTTGCTTTATACAAATGAAGTACATTCGGAAATGTGAACAGGTGAATATAATATGGTGGAGATAAGCATAAGATGGGTGAAATGTTGTCAAAATAGTATACTTGGGGGTTAGAATATGATAACATGTTGTGAAATAAAATAAAACAAAAATGGAACATGGAATAAAGAAGGATTACAAAGTTCTTATTTGAATTACATAGTAAATTAAATCAAGACTATTATAACGAAAGGGATCGTACAAATTGTTTTTGTACACAAAGTTCTTGCTTAGTGTTATGTATTGGCAAAGCCTGCGCTATATAAAGCAAATACACTCACGTCTCTTTTCGACAAACGTTACAGACTATATTAAATAATGTATCAGATGCTGCGTGCTCAGTATGAAGAAAATGTCGCGATATCGGTCAGTTGATACCTTTACATTCTCCTTTAGTGCGTCGGTGGCATAGCGGTTAAGACGCTCGCCTACCATGCACATAGTTCGGGGTTCGATCCCCGACTGACCCACTCGTTTACCTCGCTAAGCCGGGAATAATGCTGTTAAAGAGGAAAGGTTAGGCATGAGGCTACCCCATCCTGTAAAGTAAACATTGCTACAGAAAATTCAAACCTCTAGCTTGAAGCCCTATGTTCCACCGGGGAACGTGAAGGAAAGAAAATTCTCCTTTGCTCAACCAAAACGGGAAGGTGCTCTGGAACGCGGTGGAATATGTTTCTCGACGAGTACTATGTACCTAGCTCCGCAATAGCAGGTGAACATATACATACACATGGAATTAGACAGTCGAGGTAACATTTCCTCGACATTAAGGTTAGACTAGGTGATTCGTAAAGTGGCAGGGAAGAAGAATGTTTTTCCTCAGTGTGATTCTCTGGGACAAATTTTGAGTACCTCACTCTCAGTGTCACTCTTAAGTTAGTTCTAAGTTTCAGTGCAACTCAATTTTAGCCAACTTATCAATCTCTGTATTTCATCCACGTAATTCGTTATTAGCCTCAACGAATCGTAGTGGATACTCGTTCTCGGTGAATGTTTTTTCCAGTTGTTTGAGGCCATCATCAACACTGTCACATATGTAGGGAGCATTGTCTCAACTAACGGCAGTCGGAACGGACGAGGATGTCAAATCGAGCGAGAATCGGGTGGTGGGCGAGAAACACATTCCCTCATCAACCTGAAACCAATCTGGAAATCTTCGTCACTCATCATCATCAACAACAAAATTCGGTCGGATTTTCAATACAAACAACGTCAAGTCAGCCATTTCTTCTTTACGGATGAGGAACTTGGCGGGCGGGTCACAAAGAATATTTCCAACAGCCTATTGCAGACCTTTATCAACAACTAACTGTCTTCGCTGGATCTATACTGAAGATCAGACGGCCGGGCAGGAGAGAATCACCAACAAGAAACTATGGGAACAAACAAACAAAACAATAACCAATCGCCAGCCAACAAATATGCAGGAGAAAGTGGAGATGGATGGATCGGACACTCATGGTTGAGGAGGGCGCTTGGTGACATAGTGAGTTAAGCCATTTCTCGAGTGGAACCAGGCCGAAAGGGAAGCGGTTAGTGGGACGTGAGTGCAAGGGTGACATTGAGGAGATCGTGTGAAGATGAGTTGAAAGAGTATGGAGTAACATGGATGCAGGTGAAACGTACAGCAGAAGGAAGACAGAAGTGGCAAGTGGAGACGTGCAGTTGAAGTCCTATGTTCCACTGGGAACCTAAGGGAACAATAACAACAAAAATAATCATCAAGGCTGTCTTCAATACATATTCTCCAGACCCATGTCGAGTGAGAGAGAACGGATTAGATTCCTTTTTCTGTCTTTGAGTACAAAACTGTGAATATTGGTCACAATTGTCCTCTCAACTTCGCTTTCCTGTATGTAAATAAATCTTCCCAAAGACTGTTCAGCTCTCTTTTTTGTGAGTAGCATATCATCAACGAAAGATATTGTTCATTTCTGTGACTCAATCGTTAACCTCAAATTTATCACACTTTAATGTTCCCCCACTCACTGTCAAACTTTAACACAAATACACAAGAAAACTGATTGTTATTGTGTTTAATCTTTCGTATATACACATACGAAACCTCAGCACGGATACAGAGGGCTAGTTTTGCATATGCCAGTTTACGCCAACTCCGGCTATCGACCAAAGCGCAGGTGTACTGCTCATCAGTCCCCTCCGTCCTCCTTTATGGCTGTGAGCGAGACCTGGCCATTGAGAGTGGAAGACATGACAAGCCTTATTAGCTGTCTTTGATCAAAGGTGCCTGCGTTCTATCTCCCGTGTGAAGTGGTATTATAAGGTGAGCAATATTGAGGTTAGGCTTTGGTTAAGTGCTAGGTAAGGAGGGAAAATCAATCGACGATGTTGTGAAATTACATCGACTGAGATGGTTAGGACATTTGTTACGTATGCTGTATGCCTAGTCATCGCCTTCCTCTATGGGCAATGTTAGCTGATATAGGGTCAGGCTGGAAAGGAGGTAGCGGTGGTCAAACCAAAACATGGCACTAGTCAATGAAATCTACAACAGTTAGTCTAAGCCAGCCACGTAGGAAGGTGTAGACTTCTTGACTGGTTGGGGTCTTCGAGATGGTAAAAACCAATGAAGGCTGGAAACAATTAGTGACATGGCTCAAAATTGTTTTCAATGGCTAACGCAGATCCATCCACTCCTTGTGACGTATGATTTCCAATGAAACTGTTTTGTTCTTCGTTATTACTATTCCTTTGTCTCACACCTCTGTTTACTGTCTCTATTGAGCATTTCTTCTACTTGGTTCTCTTGTTGTGTGGGCTACATGAAGGGAGTGTGGCGACTTGAACTCGTGCACATCGGTGTAAAGTTCTATGTCGAAAAAAGGCAGACATGTGTACATGTAGGATTGTACAAGTATGAAAATGAAATCGTCGAAAAAGAGAATTTTCTTCGCTGAATTCGTTGTATTAATGCACTGATATTTCATCATTATAAGTGAATTTTATACATTTTATACATGTGTGTATAAATTTATTTCAGTCAATCAGTTCGAATATTCGGGTAATGTTTAAAGTTGATATTACTCATTTGATGAAATGATTACATCACATCCCCTCACTCCCATCCCCGTGGATGTAGTATCATGGTTCATTGCCATTTGTTCTTCATAGTGTTTGTTTATTTATTTATTTGTTTGTCATTGTGTATTTTGTTCATTGATCGTGTTATCATTCTGATCTGATCAGTAT